CCCCACCGCTCTTTTGTGCCTGTGCTCAGCCCCGAGGCTCCGCCCCTACTCGGTATCTTCCCGAGGCCCCGCCCCCACTTGGCCTCTTCCCCCCCAAGGCCCCACCTGCCATTCGCAAAGAGGGGAGGGGCACCCATCGGCAAAATCAAAAATTTCTGCCCGGCTTCCTAAAAACAACAACAAAATAATCACTTCTGGAAATGAAGACACAACAATAAAAGGAGCAATAAAAGACTGGACTGCTATAACTCTCTGTACTAAGAGCTATTCGTCATGGCCAAGCAGAAATTCCAGCTTGTCCAGCACATGGCAGTCTGCCTTCTAAACAGGACTAGTTGCAGAGATCACCTCTCACAAGTCCTCTGCAACATCCATTCACTCCCTCTTTCCCATCCAGGTCTAATTTCAAGCCCTGTGTGTGAAGATACTATTTTGTTCATGTAAACTTGTGGGGTGTGCGTGTGTGTGTGATTTCAGCTTACTGGGAACTGCTGAGGTTTAGCTCTGAAAATCTCATTTCATAAAGCATGTGTGTTTGTGTGTGGATGTGTGTCTGTGTCTTTGTGTGTGTTATACATAATAGAGGGACAAGGCAGGTGAGATAATAAATTTGATTGGACCAACTTCTATTGGTGAAAGACACAGGATTTGAAGCTACACAGAGCTCTGTACATAATACACAGGCACAGGTGCGCACATACACACACACACACACAGCTCAGTGCATTTAAGGCCAAGTTTCCACTGAGCTGTATACCTCCTTTGACTCTTAACAAGAATGGACTGTAACTACTTGCACATCACAATGAAAAGGTATCCCTAAGTAATTCATTTTTGTCAGCCAACTGGTATTTCAACAGATCCACTGGTTTATAAGATTGAAATGTAGGAAAATGAATAATTGTTTTTCTACGGCTGAACTACAATGGTTAGATTTTTGAGGAGTATTACTTGAAAGTATTTACTTACTTTGACTTGTACAAACAATACCTATCCTTACAGCTCTAAGATCTCAAGTACAATTTAAAATACACATTATGCAAAATAATTAAGACAACACAATCATCCTAAAACTCCAAACTATGTGACAAAGCAAGCAACCTGACAACACACAAAAGCAAAAAATATTGTACAGCTCATTTATTTTTTGGTTGTAGCTCCCTCCTGTGGCTGATTCTGATGATCAGTTCTACGTCTCGGAAACTACTCTAATGACACTCACCCTTTCCAGCTACCAAAACATGTCTCACTGTTTGTGGAGAATTGTCTGGCCTCATTTAAATTAACCAAAAGGGCTATAGTTGAGCTGTGCACCATAATTTAGAAATGATGTATGGTTAAAGGCTCATTTCAGCATTTCAGCTCATTAAAGCTCTATTCACCAAAGCTCTCTACCAAAAGGAAAACGTAGTAGAGAGAATACATATTAGGAAGTCAAGCTAGATAACGAAGTAGAGTGGCAGCATTTCAGATAGTAATTTTTCAGTTTCCAGCAGAAATCTGAGAACATTTTGGTTTGGGATACTTGGGTTTTTGATGAAAAAATCAAAAATTTTCATGAAGAACAAACACTTTTTGGGGGGGGGGGGGGAAATAACTGAGTTTTGAAAATCCAATTTTTTGTTGAAAAATAGTTTCAACCAAAAATTTTCAAGAAGCCCTAATTACCTTTTGAGAGCATCTTGTATTTGCAACAGATGCAAATCTAATGAGATGATATACTAGTACCCATTTTATTGGTTATAGATATACAATGTACAGTAAAAGCTTTGTTATCCAGCACGAGGACGGAATGGGGGGCACTGGTTAGTCAAAAATTCCAGTTAACTAAGAGTTATACTTACCAATGGAATACCAATTTTCCAAGAATTAGAATACAATAAAATGAATAAAGTATAAAACAGTACACAGGGACTCACCAACCCAGTTGTAGTACTGCACAGCAGAGTGGTTGGTTTCTTGAAGCACTTAGGTGTATACAGGTAAAGTTTTCTAGTAGGTTGTCTTATGACACTACATATCACTATGGGCAGCATGTGGCGTACACCCAGATCACTAAAAATACACTTAACACTAAGACTATACTGAGCATAATTTAATCTTTCTTTGATGATTCAGAAAGCACTTCAGGATCTTGCAGTGCCTCAAGGTCATCATTATCAACATCAATTATCATTGTAGATGTAGAAGGTGTAGGAGGCTGGACTGAATCTGTAATGACCCTATGACACACGCTGGAAGCTGCTTTTTTGAATAAATCCCTGATATCAGCTTGCTTTCTTGTCTTCTGCCTCTTTTGCATAAAAGTAGAGTGCAGAATGTCCAATTGCATAACCTCCTGGGCAGTACACTCATCCCAGGTACTAGATTGAAGATTTGTATTGGGAGATATCAGAAATGCCGGTTAATAGAGCTTTCTGGTTGATAAAGTGCCGGATAACACAGCTTTTAACGTATATTTATCACCAACCATAAGGATGTAAATGGGAATGCATATAAATGTATGAATGAGGAGATGTATGATTTGGGAATATTCACTGTTGTTAATCTAGATTAGTAGAGACACTTTTTTGCTGAGGTTACTTTATGGCTGAAGCCTTCATTTTTTCATTTAGCGCCAGAGCTGCTCATGTTAACATCCTTATACAGTAGCACTTGTTAAACATATATTGGGGTATAAATGCTATTACCCTCAATTAGCTTCAAGTTCTCTCCGCTGTAATCCACCTCCCATGTCAGCAATAACTAGGAAGCACAACAGTGCACAAACCTCAGAAAAGTTTGAGGGATAAGCAAAGTTTTGGGTTGACTAGAACCAGTTTTTCTTTGCTGTCTTTAGGAGTCCTTTCATCCCCCACCCCATTGTCACGTTTTACCTCAGTCACCCCAAGTTTCCTGGTAAACTGAAGTTCTAATCTGATTACACTGGATCTGAATTTTTTCCCTTATCCTACTTCATTGAGTTTCTCTTCATGTTTTGCCAAGCATATAAATCACATTGCTCTCATTGGCTGCCTGAGCATAATTTAGCAGTTGTGCTCTCACTGTCTTTAAGATGTTAGACTGCTAAATTTGAGACATATCAGCTCCTTTGGGACAACTGGACTGGCTTGTGAGTTCAAAGAAAATGATATAAAGAAGGTTACATTCATAAGAATGAACATGACAGCAATTTATGTACCTGTAACTATATGAGAACACTATGCATTACTAAATCTGACAGTACCAATTCAGAATGATCATTTATAACACTTCCTATATGTCCCATGCAAATTGTCCTTACACTCCCTTATCTGTTAGATTTTTTTTTTAAAGTTAAATAAATGGGACAAACCAATACCCTGCATCCAAACACCCTTAAACTTTGGGGAAATTCAAATCAAGATCTGATCTTTCTGCCTTGATTCCAACTCTTATTAAAAAACTAAAAGTAATTGAAAAAAAATTACAAGTGGAGGGACTCATGGGTGAAATGGAAAGAGAAAATGCTTATATTTTTAGTCCTCTTCTGCTAATGGTGATATGATGGATTGCACAGTAATTGAGTTATAATCTATCATGATAATCTCATTGGAAACAATGATAATTAGGCAATAGTTTCTTCTAATGCTTCTGTATGGAGCTGGGTGGCAAGTATTTTTACCATTTTGAAAGACTTTTTGAGATGGCAAAAGAATTTCCCATCCCAAAAGTGGACAAAAAGTCAAAAATCTCAAAAATGTTTGCAAACTGATAATCTTGAAAACATTTCTGGTTTGGGTCAATCAAAATATTTTGTTTGATCCTTGTGGAACATTTCATTCAGTTTTTGACCTTTTTTAAAAACAAAACCCTTTTTAGCATAAATTAACCTATTTTTTAAAACAAAATTGATATATGAAAGTGTCAAACTGGATGTTTTCACAATTTCAAAACTTTTTTTTGAGAAATGTTTTGAATCAGTAGTATCACTGAAACTGACCCTTTCTCATACAATTTTCGTTCAGTGATTCAGCATTTTTCTGATTAAATAAGTTTCATCAGAAAATTCCTGACCATCTGATAAGAGCTGTGCAAACTGACAAACTCAGTGCAAAATGGGTTCACAAAGTTTTGCATAAACCTGGTTTGCACAGTTCACAGGATCCAAAGTTTGAAATAGATTGTGTGTGAATTAGCATGACTTTCCCCATTATGAACCCAAAAGCAAGGTTTGGTTTTGAGTGACGCATATTCACTCAGATGCATTCTAAATGGCTTGGCAGAACCAAAATCTGGGCACTAGCTCTAATGCAATGACTGAACTCTGAACTCACGAAAACAAATTTCATCTTGTAGAACTGGAATACCATGACGTGAGCTAGATATAAAACAATAATGAGTCAGTTCCCACTTTAATATGCAAAAGAAGTATGTAGGCATTATTGCGATTACTCTGCTTACTACTACTTCATCACACCAATGAACTGTAGAGCTGGCCAAAAAACAGTAAAATTTTTTCAGGGCTATAGAGTCAGTCTCTGTCGCTCTCAATCTATGCTGTTGGAGCTGTTCCACTGTGTATAAATAATTAAATATTCACTGGGCCAGGGACAAAGAGAGAGAGAGCAAGCGAGAAAGAGAGAGAGATTCTGACTTCTAGAGCCCACTGGTTAAGGCACTCACCTGAAATGTGGGACACTCCCTTCAAGTCCCTTCTCTGAATCATGCAGCACAGACTTGAAACAAAACCAATTTCAAATAATTTTGTGGTTGAACTTAAACAACAGGCACAGTTCTCTTCTTGATAAGCATACAAATAACTAAGCACCAGCATAAGTAACTCCACTAAAGAAAAGCTGTGTGAAAGTGTTAAACAGATATGCATTATTTAGGAAAGTTTTCAGTCTTTTATATCCCAAAAGGAAACAACTATTCGCTTCTGTTACATGTATATGATTGTCTGTGGGTTTGTACAAATTTGATAGTCTTTGATAATTTTAAAAGTATTTTTGATTAAGAGGAAACATGGATCTAGAGAATAAAATGATCATTTGTTATTTATTACACTGAAATATAATACATCAGCCACTGCCTAAAATGAAATGTGGATACATAACATTTACAACAAATACTGATCAGGTCAGAATTTCCTCTATATTGTACTTAAAACAATGTTGGCTTGAATAAGGACTGCAGGATCAAACCCTATTCTTGTACTTACAAAAGTGTAAGCAAATCAATGATCTGCTAAGACATTTCTTCTTACCTTTCAGTAACTTCTTTAGTTTTGCTTTCTCGGTTATGCTTCCAAAAGAATAGGTACAGTTTCTTCATCATCTCTCTGCTCCCTATTTTAGACACACAGCAGTTGTGGAAAAGGCCAGATGAGATGCTTTTTATATATTCATTGGTAAATCCAGATTTTGGCACTTTGTTTCAATTTCTCTTGTTACTTTTTGGTGAAGTACATTTGTGTGCTTTCTTTCAGAGTCTTTCCTTTGTGCATCTTTCTAAAGAAGACAATTTTTTTTTCATTTTTCTGACATTTAAATCCAAGAGATACAATCAGGGATTCCCACCTTCCTTGCTTGTGCTTTCTTTTCTCAAATTAATCAAATCTTCGTTTTTTACACACATTCCCACCTTCCAGCATTCTGGACATTCAGATCAGTGACAACACATTTTCACTTCTATTCCCTTCACAGGTTCAAAGTTTCCATGGGACGCTGTTGAATGCTTCATCTTCATTGAGGAACTTAAGTGCATTATATGTTATTCTGCCATTTTTCTCTTAGTGTTACAGAGCATAGTTTACTGAAACTTCAGAACAAAATGAAACCACATTCTGAAGGTTCAGAACTTTGTAGTCACACCTCCCCTCCATCATTAAGTGCTTGGGATATTCAACAAACCACTATACATACCCTGTGCTATGGAAAAGAAATACATTTTTCTGAAATTATCAGATGAATTAGTTCTACTTCCCATCAACTGAAGGAAAAACATTTCGGAATACAATGCTTCATTTCATTCACATTTATGTTTTCATCATAGACTAGTCTGGAACTCTTTTTAAAATCTTCCTTCAAGACATGTATTTAAATAACCACAACTAACACACATACATGAGTGATGTATAAAACAGGACATGATCACTTCTTTACAGAAGCAGTTTACTACCTGCTTAGCAGGGAACCACAATATATTCACTTTATCTGAATTAGTATACTGCTTTTTATGTAAAGCTGAAAGTTGTTTCAAGCAGCAGAGACAGGGCTTCCTTTAGAGAAGCCTGTAATTGTTAATATATTTTTTTAATTTTTTTTTTGGCTTTCTTAGACAGTTCTAATTCTAGCTTATAAAAATGTACAGCCATAGACATCAGAAGAGTAGACTCCACTTTAAGAAACTCTCATAAATCCTAATTCATTGTCTAACAGGGTCAAAAAGATTATATTTTCAGTCTTCAGTGACAAAATATATATTTGGGCTTCTGGAAATCGTAATGTCTTCTTTTTTATTTCACCTTGGTAACCAATGCTGTCTTGCTCAATAAGAATATAAGTATTTCTAGCTTCCTCAGTAGTCTGAAACAAGAACATTTTCAAAGACATGGGATCAAAGGAAAGTATATCCAGGGAAAAAAAATAACATGCATAAAATATCTATAAGGTTCACATTCACAATCTATGATAACTTAAACTAGACTATTCATATAATAGAGGATTTGCATTACATTTTATTGAAATATTATGTACAGTAGGAATTGTCCCATACAATGCTATCAACTAGATGATGGTATCCAACAAATATTTCCCATTATTTCCTTAAAGACATGGTCACACTCAATAGAATGGAAAATTTACATTCAAATAATGTAAGGGCCCTGAGACACAATCCTTTTAAAGGAAACAATTTCTGGCAGTTAGATCTGAAAATATGACAAGACTACAGAAGTGGCTCAGCTTAAACCAAACTCTGCATCATGCAAGCCTAGCTGAATACTGAAAATACATAATGGATTATTATTCAATAAGATTATTGAATAATGGCTAGGTACAGCAACTTTTTCATGCCAGAATATAATCTGCCATCGTGGGAATACTGATAAACTGACATTATTTTTCAATTTTCTAGCAATTTAGTGGTGTTGTTTTTACATCTTTAGTAGTTAGTGCCTTCCTTGTCCTTCCCTCTGCATGGAGAAATCTTAAATTAGAGTTTGTTCAGCCTATATACTTAGACCATTTAAGGATGCCTTATTCTTTTCCATACGTTTCAAATTCTTTAGATATTTCCATTATCAAGTGACTCCTTGGTGACCTGATGACACTACAGATGCAGCCTGTATAGTGATAGCAGAGCACTGAAGTTTGACAAGAACTGCACCAGAAACAGGAGATAATCAGCAAACAAAATACTTACCATCTGTACGTGGGCTGATGAACTATGACCAAAGAATGAAAGCTAAAGAGAAAAATAAAAACAAAAATAAAAACTGAAAAGGAAATAGGGGAGGAAGGAGAAAAGGAAAGAAGGAAAGAAAGAAAGAGAAAAAGAATTTACAGTGTGTCTAGTGAGAAATAAGCCATGGTTACAGACAAGAGGAAGGCAAAACTGTCATTTGAAAGGAGGAGAAATAAGTAGTGATGGGGGAACTTCCAAAGGTTCAGAGTCTCTGACTGCTTAGCTGAACCTCTTGAGTCTGCAAAACTGAGCAGAATCTCATGAGATTTCCTGCACATATGCATCCTGTCCAGGCTGGAAGCAAGAAGGGCAGGAATAAATGGGGGAGAAGTAGGGGGACGGGAAAGGCAGTTAACTCTTTTGAACCTTCAAAAACGGTTTTCTTTAGGTTTGGTTCTAGTTTTGGGTGAAAGTTCAGATAAATTGCTATTGTATATGAGCTGATTCACCCATTCCTAGAAATAAATGCTTTTACTGTGGTTTATTATACTTTTAGGGTAAAAATCACCAGTTAGTGCAAGACCTGAGCAAGGCCCTCTATGTCATGAAACCCCTGATATTCCCCTGTGTTGAGTGGAGTAGAAGGATGACAGGTGAAGTGGTTAGGAGGGGAGCCTCTGAATCTCCTTATATGCTGGGAAATGAACCTCATGCCAACTCCAAATGTGCCAGGATGAAGGAGTGCTGATGACAGGCTGAGAACAGTGTTTGGAACCTTCACATAGGAGATATGCACAGCAACACCAAAGGCTTGAGAAGTGGCTGTAAAGGTGATGCTGTGCAATCCCCTGACCTGCTTCCAAGTTAGATAGGTTCCCCCAACCAAATCTGCATAGTTTGCCACACCAAACCCATGTACTAGACGTCTGTGTAGGGTGAAGAGAGGAAAAATCAAACTGCAACCCTGGAGCATTCTTTCCCGGAAGAGTTTATTTTTAAATGCAAGATGCCCCCTTCCATGCTCCAGCATTAGCTTATTCTGCTATAAACAGAGGCAGTCTGGAAGCGATGCATGCCAGACACTGTGCTAATACATCTCCTCAGATATCTTCTTGCTTTTTAAGCTCACGAGTTTATTTGAAATTATTATTAATTTTTTATTATTTATTTACACTATAGTAGCACTTAAAATGTGCATGTGCTAGGTGCTTCCCAAACAGAGAGAAAGACAGTGTCTTCCACAAAGAGTTTATGATCTAAAACCTCTCTCACATTGGTACAAGTTCCAATAAAATGACAACTGATTTGAAACTTTGCTTGAAACTCAAACCATCCCAATATCTGACAAGGTCCAGTAAACTTGTTTGTTTCTATCCTCATATGTTTCTGCACTTTCTGTTTTCAGCCAAGACTGGAAGCCCAAGTATTGAAATACCTGGGGAAAGGCCTCTGTCATTGTGCTTTCCATCCAAACAGAATGCAGAGAACTGGTGAGAATAGGCTTTCCAGACCAAATAGCCATGGCTAAGTTTGCATAATCGTCAGAAATGCATCACCATTTCAGATGTTTAACTGAAGAAAGCCTCAGTCTTTAGAGGTTTGTCCATCTTGTACATGAGATTTTGCAATAATACCATCTACACCAACAGTGCAAGAGTGACTCAACATTACAAGAACATTTATTTGCAACTTTACTTTCTTGATAAAGTTATTTTCTTAAGATATATGCATATATAGCCACATATATGTATATCTTATCATTGATGTTTCATTTATATTACCATACCTTTTCTTCCAATTCTTTTATCTGTCTTTTTTGACCTTCAATTCTTTCTTCTAGCTCCTTAATTCTCTGTAAGATGTAAACCATAAAACAATGTGTTAGTAACAAAATTTTCTAAAGTGGGGAAAGTGTCTTTTTTTTAAAAAAAGGAGACTGTAACTGATATTCTGTGGTTGCAAACTGATTTGTGTTTTCATTTGTAGATTTGTCCTGATCTAATACAATGACTGTATGAAAGAGACATTGAAAAACAAACACAGGGCTTATATTGGGGATATAGCCCCATGAATAAGCATCTGGCCCAAAAGCTGAAGGTTATGAATGAGGTTTTCAAAACTTCCTAAGTGATTTGGATGCCCTATACAAATGAAAACAAATAGGAAACTGTGTGTCTAAATCCCTCAGGCGACATTGAAAATCTCAGCCCTTACTTTTAACTTCACCCAGAGACATTGGGTTGCTGGCAAAGGAACTGGACAAGAACTAAAGGAAACATTTGATTCACAAAGCTGAAATATATACTGATCCTTATTCAATATACTAAAATAATAATTCTTACCTGTTATATAGAAGTAAAAGAAGCAGCACAGCCAAGAAGAAAGGGACAGAGATCACCTATTCATTATGCTTAAAAACGAAGGAGACAAACATCTTTGTATCAATGTGTACCTGCTGTGCATGTTGAATGAGCTCCATTCTTTCACGCAGAATCTGGGCATCTCTCTCTCGGAGTTCACTCATAACTTGACGTTTCCATTGCTCTACAGCATTCTTCAGCTTGCTTTTCTCCTCTTCTGAAAGAATTTCAGACATTTTGGCTCCAGCTTCCTGCTGCAGGGCATCATATAGCATGGCTTCTAATTCCAGAATTTGCTAGACAAAACCAAAATAAGGCAGTTAGCTTACGCTTTTCTCTTACAGGTGGGCCGAGGATTTTGTGAACGTTATTGAGAGCATGGCTTGTCCCAAGCAGTGACACAACTGGAAGTTATACAGGCAGACTCAGTGCTGAACCTCCTGAGAAGCACAGCACAAAAAGCATAGCCCATGAGGAAAGGAGCAAAGATTCCTTTAAGCCATCTTCTTGTTGCCTGGACTCTGGGCTGCAGTGACAGCCAAAAAGATCCCCAGTGTAAGTTACAGCAGCCCCAGGGACTGCTCTCACTTGCAGCAGCCTTTGTGCAGCTCAGAATCATGGTAGTACTGAACACTACAGGCATGTGCTACCCCTTACACTGGGGCACCCAGTGCTATACCCCTTACACTGTTGAGCCAGCAGAATTGTCCCTGACTCTATATCTCCTCTATGTCTCTGTACACTGCTGGAGTGGTGTACAGGAGCCAGGACTTGGGCACAATCAGCCCCACAGCGTGTTCCTGAAATAAGAATTTACATTCAATTACTTAACACTGTAAGGTTTCCAGATATTAAATGTGTATATTCTAGCCTCTTCCAAAGTATAGATGTCCAATTGATGTCAATGAGAGTTTGGTACAAAGAGTTAAGGGAGAATTTAACCCTAACATATAGTAGGAAAGGCACAAGGTTACAGTCCAGTACAAGGACATTACTGTATGTATAATGAAAACTAACTTCCACTTAATGTCAGTGCTTGAAGTCAATAGGAACTGTTTAAGTACTGCAGGATTGGATCAGAATTGTAATAAACAATGGTAACATCTTCCTTTATAGGACACACAGACAGACCCAAACTTTGACTTTCCTTCACATAATTTTCATCTAATTCTTTTCATGAGTATATTTATTTTTAAATAATTGCTTCACCTCTTTGTCAAACAAATCAAAAGTCTGCATCCTCACAACCATCTTATCAACATTGTGTAACATCATGAAAACAGCTAAGCTATGGAAATTCCATTTCAGTTTTGAGGTTCTAAGGGGTTAAGGTTGGGAAATGTCCCTGTGTTAAACAGTAAACACTATTCTCCTACCTTGATGATGTATTTTTAAAATGTAATTTTTGTTGTTCAGACACAGATTTGGTTATAAACACTGTGAAGAAAATATTTCCTTCACTGATTCTAGCAGGAAATGTTTTTCTTAAAGGAGCAATATATAAAAAGAACAAGTGGCCTAACTTGTGTGATTAATAAACCCGAGAGATGCCGTATTCACTTTTCATCCCCTGTTTGCTTTAGTTTTTTATATTTCATTCAACCTGAAGTCAGAAAATAGACTGGTCATTTGTATTTTTTTCTCTCCTCTGTTTCCTGTCACTTTCACTTTCTCATGCCTGCACTAGTACAGGCAACATGTTTTGGTTGCAGGGAGTCATTTAAATCCCTGCAGAAAAACATGTTCATAGAGGTTTGGTGTGGACACGAAAACAATGAGACATAGACACCATAATATGATGAATTTCAGAGGGTACAACTTCATTACCTAACCAGGGTCAGCACTTCAAACTACCCAGCAGGGTTGTTCCAGTGCAGGTGTCAACTGGCACCAGCTGCCCCCGTGGACTATAAATCTCTGGGTAAGTGTGTCGGTCATGCCCCTTTATGCCCTCAGGCCTGCCATAGGACCCTGCCTGGAGACCAGAGTCCTGACCTGCTCCCCTCCTCCTCACTGGAGGCAGGAGAATTAAGATGAGGGGTCCCATAAGCTGCACAAGATTTAGCGGTTTATCCTGTCACCATGCAATGCTATGCTCAGATTCAAGGCCCAGGCAGCCCACTGGGTTATGGGACCTGACATCGGACCCTTTCTAGCATATCAACTGACAAATCCGAGACAACTGTAACTTAAATCCCCAAACCAGACCTGCTAGGATTTTGGGTGAAAGGTGAAAAAACTCACACAGCAGTTTGCCAATCATGCCTTTTGGGAAAAATCCCTTCCAGACGCCGAAACTGGTGATCACCCTTGACCCCAGCATCACTACAGATCCCACAATAGATTAAGGGTGGGGAGCCCACAACAGCTATCCCGCCAAGGCAGAAAGCTGACATGACCCCTCTTGACCTCCACAACCACCGTTCAGGAGCCACGTTCCAAACTAAAAGATATATTCAAAAACCAAGAATTTGTGTGAGGTTAGTCCAAGTGTAGCCTCATTAGTATTTCAGTGGGGGATTTGTAAAGACAAAAAGAGAGTTAGATGCTCAACTCCTGTTGACTTTCACTGGGAGTTGGCCACTACACTCCAATTTGTGCCTTTGAAACTCTCCTCATAACACTACCACCACAGACAAGATCTGGAAGGGACCAGAAACATGAGGAGAAAAGTGTCTCATTTCGGAATTGTATTACAAACCTTTTCTCCCTAATGATTCGTCTTCTCAGCTTATCCTTTTCCCAAGTAGCTGGCATGGGATATATTGTGTTGCTAGGTTTGGAGAATCTAGCTATGGGCATAAGCGCTAGAACTAGGGGTGCTGCCGGACCCACGGTTTGAAGTGGTTTCCATCATATACAGGGTTTACAGTTTGGTTCAATGGCTCTCAGTACCTCCTCTATAAAAATTGTTCCAGCATCCCTGGCTATGGGAAAGATCTATTAGGGTATCCAGTCCATATCTCTGCCAATGCAAAATTATTCCCTATTGTACATTTACTAGTGCTTTGTCCCATCTACTTTTAAATCTCCCATATGCAGGTGTGGGGATGGTGTTCCATCACTTTGTTTGGGAGAGTATCATATAGTCCAATAGATCTCACTGTCAGGTAATTTTTTCTGATGCTCAGGGTACATTTTTGCTTTTCTCAGATTCATTCCATTGCTCCATATTATATACTCCATTTTGCTATTCTAAATAATGCCTCTCTGTCCTTAGTATATATACTCTCCAAATTCCTGTAGATCTATGTCCTCACTCAGTTATTGCTTAGGATAGATAGATTAATAGATAAATAAATAGATAGATAAATAGACTGATTTATACTGAAAGCTTGCATGTTTATAGATAGATAAGATCTATCTATCTGTCCAGCCCACCAATTATTTTTATTGCTCTTCTCTACATTTCCACTAATTTGTCAATATTTTTATGAATAGCAATGGGACGTAAAGTGCTGAACAGACAGTATTAGGAAGCTGGAAGTACTGAATAGCTACACAATGCCTTGCTGTAGCCAGCCTACCAACCGCTAGACTTTTTGGTGGGATTATACACAGATAATGGGGAGGGAATGGTGCACTCACCAAGAATAAAAGTATTCTATGACTCCCTGGTAAAGCTTCATTCTCTGTTAAGTTAAATGGGTAAATGGTTGATTTGGGAAGATTTCCATATTTAAACTAGTCTCTGAAGATAAAACAGATGAAGCAACATTGTTCTATCTATGATAATTCTGCACTGCATTCTGTGTACATTAGGTTCAGTCTGCAGGGACTTTTCATTTCATGCATCATTACATAATCCCAGATACATCGAATTCTGCATATGGCACAAGAGTGAGCAAAGATGAGCTCTGACCAGCTGGATAGTGGACACCAGATAAGTTAGTTGCTGAACTATATTTATTTTCTCCAGAGATGACTACAGAGACTTCTCAGGCTTGCAATATTATAGTGCCTTCCATGACCTCTGTAGATCTTCCATCACTGAGATATTCCTTCCCTGCAGTTAAGACAGATTGCATTGGGTGAATGCAATAGCTGACTCACAATATGCTCAACTGTGCTCAGAAATAGCACCACACACTAACTTTCTTCCTATTGCCGGTGGTGTCACTATGATAACATAATAATTTCTTTAGTTCGTTTTATGCTGTGGGACTCTGTGAAGAGAAAGGAGTTATTGACAATGCCAATCAATCTTCCCCCTCTTTACTACTATGACCACTTTCAGAGGACTTCAGAAATAGGGAGCTGTTTTAGAACTGCTTATTATATGCAGTTCTTGACCAGGGATCATAGAATCATAGAATATCAAGGTTGGAAGGGACCTCAGGAGGTCATCTAGTCCAACCCCCTGCTCAAAGCAGGACCAATCCCCAATTTTTGCCCCAGATCCCAAATGGCCCCCTCAAGGATTGAACTCACAGCCCTGGGTTTAGCAGGCCAATGCTCAAACCACTGAGCTATTGTGCATAGAAGTTAGTCCCAGGAAAAGCTGAGCACTTGGCAAGATCAAGCTCTTAAAAAAACCCAGAGGACTAAAAAGTGTATTGAATAAATGCTCCCGCAAATGTTCTCACACCATTGCATGTATTAGACATTCAAAAGGAGGACTGAAATATTCTTCTCAGCCATTAGAAGACATGACCATGTTCAAGATACAAATAATTCCCAAAGCACAGGAAAAAGCTACAGCTGTGCAAAATATTGGTATAAATGTTTACTTCATAAATATGTTTAGCTAGTTTTTCGGGTGATGAGAATCTACAGGTACAGCTGTAAATAAAACCACAATTGTAGGAAACTGTTTACTGAGTAAGTAAAGTGGTCAAATTTAGGGGTCAGGATTAGTGAATATATGCTAGGTAAACCTGACATAAACTCAACATTTGTCCTAATGTAGTTGCAGGGTATACCTATTTTAGCTAGGTGATTTGTAGCCTAGGTTCCTGGGACAAACCCTGAGATAGAAGATTTATTTTTGGAGGGAAAAGAGAATACTCACAAAATATTGTTCCATCAGTTGCAAACTAGAATCTCAACTATGTTAAACTGTTTCTACAATACAAATTAATAAATAATAACAACATATGATAACTCAGGCCCTGATCTCGCAAAGAGCACCATGCAAGCACAAGGTTTGCCCATATGTAGCTCGTTGCTGGATCAAGGTCTAAATAATTTGCTTACAATTAAATTTACCTACTCTTCCAGCCACTGGAACTCAATAGGAGTTCTGTATGCAGAAGGACTGTAGGATTATATAAGGTAATTTATTAAAGGTAGCATAGGTCTACCAAGACTGACTTTCCTTACCTTGTGTGCTTGATCCAAAGACTGTTTCCTGTAGTCAAGTTCATCATCCAAGTAGCCCTTTTGTTTACTAAATAGCTCCTAAGGATGTAAAGAAGACTAGGTTATCTCAATTACTTTAGCAACAACTTGAATGACTGTTCTTTTATTGTCAAAACACTCCCTATAGTACCTTTTCATTCTCAAGATCTAACATCTTTTGCTGTAGTGCAGATTCTGTCACTTCTATCTGCTGTAGCCACTGTACACAAAAGATAACAAGAGATTAAGTCCTAAATCTTGATAGATTAGTTTCCAGAGTCAAAATGGCAGCACACGGCTTCTGCCAAAGAGCATGTTCTTCTACTAAACTTTTTTACAGCTCTAGCATACCACATGAGATACATTTAATTTAAATCCACTAAGGGGAGCAGGTATCAAGCACATTAGATAATTACTATATAAATTGATGATTTGGAGATGGACACTTTTCCAAAGCCTTGCAATATATCTTTTATAACTCAAATGACATTAATATAAATTATGGTACTATCTGAACATTATCTTTATATATTTTTCCCTCATAAATTACTACGTTTTACAAAAGCATAATTGTGCTTAAAAAATTGTATCATTTTGTGAAGAAACAATTATTTACATTACCAATGTGCTCAAGTTAACTCATTCGGAGATGGGCAAAACTTTGTATAACATGATTTCACTTACTAGGGATGTATATGTTTTACCTTTTCAGCCAGTGTCAGAACTGTCCTTGCTTGTATGACAACTACTTGCTCCTCATTGGTCAGATTCTGCAACAAAAGGAGAATATAATTACAATAAACCTCACTGCCTTGGTATTGGTTTTGGGCAGCACTTGCATTAAATATATAAAGACTTAAATACTCTCCTTGAATATTACATGAAATAAAAATTCATATTTTAATATACAATATGGTTGTAATTTTTAAAGTTAATCCTGAGTTGTTACAGTAAAAAACTGTATTTCCTAGAAGTTCTCATACACAAAAATGTAATTCTAATTCTCACCTAATTCTCCTTAAAAGCTTCACACTTACCAACAAACTGTTGGCACATCAAAAACTAGCTGATTTTTATTAATTGGCACTGTTTCCTTTCTTTTCCCAACTGGGGATAACCGCAAAATTACACAAGACAACACATAGTAAAGAAAAGAAGCAAAAGTGAAAGTCCCAAAAGTGTTGGTTGCTGAAAATGTCTAATTAAAATTTTTTTTTTACTTCAGATTTTGATTAAAAGTGAACACACTGTCAATATGCATGTGTGTGTTCATTGCTGGCAATCTTTAAATTATTACAACTATACTTATGAACTGTGAATGAAAACTAAAATATTCATGGATTTGAAATGGTTAGAATTTTGCATCTTATCCAGCTGGCAAGTTATTTTTATGCTTTTGCCTCTGTTGCAAAAGCCTTAACAGACCACATTCTTTGTCACTGTTAGCCAGGAGGCATTATGGAGTTAGCATTATAGAAAGGCTACATGGCACCCAGTCCTGAAAGCTGCATCTCAGTTCTTTGCTAAGCATTCTGGTGATGTCACATTGATGTATTAGGCCATGCATTGCACAAGAATGATGTCACCAACCTAATCTTGGGCCCGGACTCATTTGCACATTGAATATCAACATGTTCATAATATAAGTGAAATGTGTGGAGGAAAGAACAAAAAACAGGAAAGGCTCCAGTCCTGCAAACTCCAACGCCCATAAGCAGTTCACTGAGTTAAATGGGACTGCTCACATCTGGCAGTCCCTTCTAAGCATTAAAAGAAAACCAGTAAAACCAATGAAAAAAAAGAAAATCAACAAGAAATAGAAACAAAATAAAAACAGGCTAGGAATCAGTAGGTACTGTTAAGAACCAATAATAAAGGTAAGCAAATAAGTCAGGGTTTAACAATAAAGAAAAGTAGGAAAGAATAAGAGTAAAAAAATGGTAAAAAAATCTCACTTGTTGTATTTTCCCTTCTGTCTCCTCCCTTGTCTGTGTATGTCTACTTAGGGCCCTACCTTGGAAACATTTATGTCTGTGTGTAACTTTATGTGAGTAGTTCAACTGAAGACAATGGAAGTATTCATGTTAGTAAAGTTACTCGCATGCATGGTTGTAGGATCAGCACTTAGATAGTTAACTCAAACTTTTGTAGGTTGGTCAGGTGTTTATACACTCTTGGATACTCTATTATTAATAATATTCATTCTTATTCCTCTTCTGACGCTTCTCAGCTGTCTGTTTGGTTCTGAGGTCCTGGATCTGGGCAGCATAAACCTCGCGAGTATGTACTTGGGGCGGCTAGCCTGTGCCACTGTTGCCCATGCTACTGTGGCTGCCCTACTATTTTTAGCATGCTAGGTCAGATAAGGGCTAGTGTGAGTATGTGTATGTGAACTGGGAATCACATCAGTAGCTCACCATGTATACGTAGCCTGAGAATGATCCAACAGCCCATGGAGAAATTATGACCCACATGGCCTAACTAGAACCCCACAGGAAAAGAGAGGCTATTTTAAACTGCCTCTACACGTGCCTGGCTGGAGCTTTGTGGCTGGCTGGCAAGATCACAGAGCTGGGAAAATTGTGGTTAATCTCACAGGCAGACTGAACAAGTGTGGTGTGATCAATCCCAGATTTGATGTTCAGCTGAAGGACCTGGAAAAGTGGCAGAACAACCTTTTGCCTTCACGTCAGTTTGGGTACTTAGTGCCGACAACTTCCGCTGGGGTTCATGGACCATGAGGAAGCAAGGCGAAAACACACAGGAGGCAAAATCCTGGGATTCTTTTTCTAAAACTTATAAAACAAGCATACTAATAAATTGTTCAAATGGAAAACAAAACAAAACAGAAAACCATTCAACTCTCACTTTCTACTGCAAAAGCTAAATAGATGATTCTTTAACAGACCTATCTCAGCTTCAGCCAAAGAAAGAACTGCAGTGCTGTTGGCTACCAGCACTAAAGATGTGGCTACCCTGCAAATGAAGGTGTGATTGTAATAGAGGTAGGCAGACATGTGTTAGCTTTAATCTAGTTAGCACAGATAATAATAGCAGTGTAGATGTAGTGGCCTGGGCTTCAGTTCCCGCTAGCAAATCGAAAAGCAAGCCCTTCAGGGACCCTGAGTATGTATTCTGGTTGCTAGCCTGAGCTGAAGCCCGTGCCACCACATCTACACGAGTACCGTTACTTGTACTAGCTAGATTAAAGCTAGCACTGGTATGCCTATCCACGCTACAAGCATACCTTTCACATGCAGTGTAGGTAAGTGTGAAATTCACTCCTGGTGCAGTGGACCAGCACAAGACCCTCTACATCATTGAAACATCACATAGAGGCTGTACTAGATGTTGATCAGTTGAAACCCCTGTATTTGCACCATGGACCTGGTCTCTGCGGGGCTGGTGTGGAATGTTAGTAGAGGAGAGAACTGGGGACGGGCCAGGTGAGAAACTACGCACCCATGTTTATGCAGATCCACTGACCCCAGTTTCCAGCACAACCAAACAGAGAGGGTGTGGCTGCTACTTCAGCCCAACTGGAATAACAGGAGGAAAAATGGGGTGGGGGGACAGTGCAAACAGCCCTGTAGCTTGGCCCTTAGGTTAAGGGAGGGAATTTCAACTCCCCTTTCTCCTTACTCTGAACCCATATAAAGGCTGTACCTCAGGCTTTATGTAAAAATCCAAAAACACATCAAAAAAGGAGTCTGACAACAATATTTTTTTAAAAAAGTATTTTAAAGTGGTGGGAAAAGGTTTCCCCCTCCCCACTATTAAGTACCACCTCCTCTCTTCTTTCTACTATTTAAACTATTTCTATTTAATGTATTTATTTATTTATTTCAGTTGAGAAGTGCCTGTATCTAAGGCTCGAGGTGCCTCACAAAGTTAAAATGCAGTTATTAAAATGCAATACCAAATAAATACAAGTAAGCAAATAAGCAAAGAACACATGAACAATGGAAAGATATAGTATCTTCTATGAAAAAACATGTTTTTAAAAATAATTTTACCAACCTTTTGACATTGAAAATCAAAGACCCATGTTATAACATTAAGATGCTTTGTGCCACATCTGAAAGGCCCATTAACACATTATGTTAAGTTGCAGTGAGCATTCTGCCTGTAGCCCAGAACCTCAACAGCAAACCAAAAAAAAAAAGCCCATGCTTTGGATTGTCTTCATGCTACATTAATAAAAGCACAAATAATTAACAGAAACATGCACAATTTATTTATTAAAGGAACATACACTTACGGCGTTATCCCCTAAAATGTCCAACTTTTTCATTAGCTCCGCTACTAGTATATCCTAACAACAAGAGAAAAGTGTACAGAAAAGAAGGAGTCAGAATATAGCATCACCTGGTATTTAGAGGATGCAATCCTAAGAAATGGGGATTGCTTACCGTTACACCTTCTGCCTCACAGTAAACTTGGAGAGGACTTTTTCCCTCAGTAAAAGGAATGTGATGGAAGTTGATAGCAGGTGATCTTCTTTCTCTCTCCTAAAATAAAAATAATTATGTTTAAGGAGATTTAATTTTTAAATTAACCATCATATTGTACTGTAAGTTTCAGCTTCATTAAGAATATGTTATAAATATGGGCATTCCATAAAACATACTCTGAAAAAGTAATACATCATAAATATGTAAATTACAGAGTAGCACTATCCATAAAAATCTTTATTTATTGTACAAAAAAGTGGGAAATCTTTCATTCTGCCTTTTATGTCTATTTATTCTAAGATGCAGAAGAAAAAGTGCTGTTTATCTGTGAAGTTATAATGCCTGTGGGAGATTTTACTAGACTGACAGGCAGAATAAAGCAAGCTTACACAGTAATAATACAAGCTTTCTTCATACCGTTCATCAATTTTCACCAACCATGACTGTCTAGTCATTATTTTGGCTATGTAAGTGGGCTACATTTGGGTAGCCTGGATGTGTTTAAACCCAAAGTAATGTACAGTAAGTGACATCTGTTTGGGATATTACTGTCTGTGCTGTCTGACAAATGTTGCAAACCAGCAGTGTTTGATCAAAGGTTGAAGGTCTATGCTCTCCAGAGATGCTGCAAAAAGTCTGTGTGACAAAACAAAACAAAACAAAACAAAAGCTCACCAGAATGAGTACAATGTGAAGGGCCATGCAATGTCCTTGATCTGCATGTGGAACAATAACAATATATTGCTGAATGGTTTTTAGCAATTACAACTAAAAACTCCTTAATAATTATTGTCTGTGTGTTACATTTTGATTTTGCTTCACTTGCTAAATTTTAAAACAGGTATAGTGGAAGAACAGCAGAGTAAATCAGTCATCTATGACAAACTGGGCTCTAGCTAGAGTTCAAAGGTTAGGATCTTTGAAAAACTTATGCGGGAAGACAGGTAGAAATCAGTATTCGTCAATTTTGATACGCTGTTCTGTTGGGTATTTTTAATCCTCTTTTAGTATCACTGTGTACCAGTCACTGATGTCACTTTTTTATGAAGAGCTCATCTTCAATATAAAAGCAGAGGGGTTCCTCAAGTTTGGCTGTCTTCTAGCCTTAGACAACATAATGCAGAAAGAGCGACAATGGTTGTATAGATAACTGTTGCTTACTTCAAGCTCTAATATTCTGAACTCCAGGAGTTCATTTTGATCTTTAGCATCCTGGACATCATGTTTTAACCGAGCTTCTTCTGTTTCCATTTGTTTTATCTGAAAAATAAAATTAAATATATATTTTTTTAAAAGTTTGATGGTTCATCACTTCTGGATAAATCCTAAACCTGTTAAGAATTCAGTTTCTCTGGGCAATGCTTGTGGCTTAAAAGCAAACATTTTGGATTCAGTGACACTTCAAGGTCACTCTACAAATCTTCTGCGCCCAAGGTGTGATTCTGTATTTCACAGCTCTGATATCATTCTGCTTAGATCTTAGACACAGTGGAATAGGATTGATCAGTAAGGGCTTAATTCTCCAACCCTTACACTGTTTTTAATTAGATGACTTGCTGAGTAAAGAACTACTCAAAGTGGGTACGGATGCAGATTCAAGACCTATATGTGTATTACAAGTCCACAGTAGGAATATTCTCTGCACAGCCTGATACACTGCATGAAATGAGGGGATTGCTGAGTAAATAGACCAGGGGTGTGGAAAATTCAGAAGCCACTCCCTAGAGTGACCATCTACTTAGCTCCCCTCATCAAGGAGTTCTAAAGCTGGTGACGAGCTCCAGCGAATGACCTTATCCGTCCTTCTGAACTGTGGCATGATGAAGACATTATTACTGTTTGAGAATTGTTCTAATTAGAGTGGCACAGAATACTTTTAAAACATTTTGTAGTGGTACTTAAATAATACTAACAAACCACATGCATTCCTTAAGCTTCTACATATACAGAGTTTAAGGTCATAAGGGACCACTAGATCATCTGGTCTGACCTCTTGTATATCACAGGCTACCAACACCCACACACTAAATCCAACAACTGAAATGAGGCCAAAGTATTACAACCCACAGAAAACTAGACTATTATTTGTCACAAGCAGAGATAATCCAGATAATCCTGGCAACAACCCACACTCACATGCTGCAGAGGAAGGCAAAAACTCCCCAAGATCATTGCCAATCTGACCGGGGAAAAATTCCTTCTTGACCCCACATATGGTGATCAATTAGGTTAGAACCAGCCAGCCAAGCACCTGAGAGAGAGAATGATTGATGCCACCTCAGAGCCCTGGCCTACCCTGCCCAATGTCTTATCTTCAGCTGTGGCCACCCCTGATACTCAGAGGAAAGAGGTAAAAAAAACCTTCCCAGAATACACTGGCGGAGGCGTGGCGGGGGGGGGGGGGAATCCCTTCCTGACCCCTACCAGTGGCTGTCTGAAATCCTGAAGCATGAGCTTTAGGAACATAGGACATAAAGCAGAAGTGAGCTGCAGGGCTTTGGAGCCCTGTCTTTTGCCATCACAAACAATCCCATCATACAATTGCATTCATACATTTGTGTGGATCTCTCTGAAAACTAATTTAGTTGTTTGTCCCCCTCCCTGCAACCAACTCCTATTAGGAGGGTGTTCCAGCACTTCACCCTTCTGCTGGTTAGAAACCTTTTTCTAATTTCCAGCCTGAATTTGTTTGTGGCCAGTTTGTATCCATTTGTTCTTGTGCCCACATTTTCTTTTAGTTTAAATAACTCTTTAGCCTTCCTGGTATTTACTCCCCTAATGTATTTATAGAGAGCAATCATATCTTGTCTAAGATTTCTTTTTGCTAGGCTAAAAAAGCCAAGCTCTTCCAGTATTCTCTCATAAGACAGGTCCTCCATTCCCCTGTTGCTATTTAATTTACTCTTTCTTGAACATGGGGGACCAGAATTGACCCCAGTATTCCAAATGCAGTCTTATCAGTGCCTGGTACAATGGCATTAATACTTCTCTATCTGTACTAGAATTGCCTCAACTAGTACATTTTAGGATTGTGTTTGCTTTTTTCATAGCCACATCACAATGGTGGCACAGTCATCCTGTGATTGACACACATCCAGGTTTCTCTCCTCCTCTGTCGCTTCCAGCTGATGAGTCCCCAGCTTGCAACAGAAATTCTTATTATTAGGCCCTTAGTGAATGACCTTTCACTTTGTACTAAAGAATTTAATCATCCAGATCTTCCTGTACAATATTCCGAACCTCCTCTGTATTGACAATGCCTCCCAACTTTGTATCACCACCAAATTTCATTAGCTCATCCTACCTTTTGTGCAGAAATATTGAATAAGGATGGTCACAAGACCAATCTTCAAGGAACTCCACTAGTAACCTCTTTCCAGTCTGATAATTCACCTTTTAGCACAACCCAGTGCCTTCTCTCCTTTAGCCAATTCTTTATCCACCTTAAAATTGTGTATTGATTCCCATCTTCCCTAACTGAATGAACAATTTCTCATACGGCACCATGTCAAATGCTTTAATGAAGTTCAAGTATGTTTGATCTATTGCACTTCCCTTATCTAAAAAAAAATCAGTGTTTTCTCAAAGAAGGAAATCAGGTTAGCCTGGCATTATCTATCTTTGGGAAACCCATGTTGCATTGCATCCCTTTTACCACTTACCTCTATGATTTAATTATTCTTTCCTTCAAAATTTGTTCTAAAAGCTTGCACACCGCTGAGGTCAGACTAACAGGTCTGTAATTGCCCAGATCACTTTTTTCCCTTTCTTAACTATAGGTATTAAGTGAGCTATTCTCCAATCATATGGGAGACAGACTTAAAGATTGTTGCTAGCAGACTAGCAATCTCTTGAGTCAGTTCTTTCAGTATTCTGGGACGGAAATGATCTGTTCCCCTTGACTGGAGCACATTAAGCTCTTTTCTTCCTCGTCAGATGTGATCATTTTGATGGTTTTGATTTCTAGACACTCATTTCCATCAGCGTTACTGCCTTAATGCACATGTACCATATGAGCATCTTTACTGAAAACCGAGGCAAAACATTCATTTAGTTTTTGGACCACATCTAGATTATCTTTAATCTCCTTCCCAGCCACAGTACATGGCAGCCCAACCTCATCCTTCCTTAATCTCTTTTTATTTATATAACTAAAAACATATTAAATGTAGGAATAGAAATGCTGAGAATAAATACCTTTTCTACAAGTTCTTGATTTCTTCTATATAAAGCTTGCTTCTCCTCAATCCACTTCATGTCCTTAAAATATAAATGATTAATATTATAGGAGAAACTAACAGTGCTGCTATAATATATGATCATGTAATTACAGACTGTATCATAATGCATACACAGAAGCGGGCTGAATTGAAATTTAACAGGCAACCTTAATTCTGACATTTCCTTACTTTTCTGAGTGCTTGACTTTGCATCTAAAAGTTCTTTTAACATAGTATTTTGTGTTTTTTTTAAATGTAATTGGAATATAAATACTCCAATTTAAAAAAACCATGAAAAATCCTGTCAATCAATGAAATGAATGATGATTGTAATAAAAGTGAGAAGTTAGGCACCTCCATTGCAATAATTTAATAAACAGATCATAGCAGTTATAGTATTTTGATTTCCATGTTTCCCAAGATTAAGAAAGATAAATCATATTTTTAGATAGATGAATTATTTTATTAGATTGAAATGGGGAAAAAACAATTAGAACATTAGTTGCTCACTGAGACAGTGATGCTTTGGGCTGAGCTGGCAAGCAAGCGATTACTTATAGTTAAAGTTTGTAAATCCCTTTGAAAAGTGCTATGTGAGTGATTAATAATAATAAATATCTTCACAATTATTCTCTCAAGGTACCATATGTAGAGAATGTTTTGAACAATTAATTTTTCACTCTGCTGAAAATAGAAATCAAAATGTCTTTTTCCTAGAAAATTCAATTTTTTGTAATGATTCATTCCATCTTTTGAAGAAGTTTGAAACGGAATTATAATGATGGAGGACATTCCATCACTTATAAGACCTAAGGGAACCCTCCTCCAGCCCTAGCTGAAGGGATGGGGGATATTGAATAGAGGGCCATTATGGAAATTCTACTTCTAGGCTGGTGTAGCCAGTTCTCTTCTCCCTTCCCTGTCAGAAGGCATGGCAGTGGTGTGCTGAGTCCTCCAATTTTGGAAGATCCAGTTGAAACATTTACAGGGAGAAATGCAGGCAGATAGGATTCCAAAAGCTGAATAGCACAGGAAGAAAATGGGGAGTGGGTAATTTATCATTTTTCCTTAGGCACCTTTTAAAGGGCCAGAACATGGAGAACCTGTTCTCACTGGGTAGTCCACATGGAGGAGAATCACACACTAAAGATGTGCCCGGATATTGATGAGGGAGCTTTAGGGGGTGGAATTCTAGTTTATTGAAAGTTTCTCCAGGTTATTTCATATGGGGAGGGGTTTAAAACCCGTGAAAACTCCAGGGATATAAGAATGCAATAAAGCCTGTAAAAGCCGAATTTATGAATAATTTTTATATTGATTTTTAATGTGACTTTTAGGACTCCCACTTATTTAGCCATTTGTTGATAGAAGAAAATTCAGCTAAGAACAAATAGATGTATTTCACCTTTCTCGTCATGTTTACCCCCACAGTTTGCAGATGTCATCCATTTCAACTGGGACCAAAAGTAGGATTTTACACAGAACTGTAATAATATTTAGTGCTCAAAGTGTGTTGCACTTTTCACTTTCAAAGTGCCACACAAACACTGGACCAGGTCACAGCTGGTGCAGAGACGGAGGCAGCCAGCACACCCCCACCTACATCCTTTAGAGTTTCCACCAGGAGAGACAACTAGATGACCATGTCAAGGCCCCAATGGAAATTTAAGTGAAGACATCACCCATCTGACTTACCCTTCCTCCTCTTCAGCCATCACTGACCTGTGGGCACCCTGGTAGAATTGAGGTGGTGGAGCCTTTCCCCATGCTACTGTAACACTAGATTAATCTAGCCCATTCGCTAATGAACCCTTGCAATGCCTGTGAATTATATAAATATTAGCAGCCTCATTTTACCAATGCGTAGACAGGTATGGGTTTGAGCCTAACAATTGCTGGGCAGCTTCAAGTAAAAGTAGAACAGTCTCAGCTCACATTGAAATCAAATGATTTGCCATATTCTGACTCAGATGCTCCTGGCTTCTACTTCCATTAACAGTCCACTAGATTTTGTTCCCCTTTTTGAGGTTTTGAAAAGAAAGTTGTGAAAAATAATTTTGTGTATCATCTTCTGGATTGGAAACGTAAATAACTAATGTGCTAGAAAGGCAGCATTTTTGGTATTTTTAATGGAGCTAGCCATCCATCCAAAGGAAGTATGGGCGTTTATTATCTGCAAGAATTCTAGATATGAAGATATTCATATTCTATAAATGCAGGTATATTTTTCACTGCCTATGGATAAAAGTGAGTAGAATGTATTTTGAATCCAGCACATCTCCAATTTTAGCTGCCTTTGGGTTCTCTTTTTCACAGCTCAACAGGCAATGGCAACATTAAGCATGCAGGTTCTGTACCAGCCTTGGGATTCAAGCTAGTGGGGATGAGAACGGCATGCAGAAGCAGGGACATATTCCAAGGCCAGAAAAGGCCATTATGATTATCTAGTCTGACCTCCTGTATAACACAGGCCATAGAACTTTCTCAGAATAATTCCTAGAGCATAGCTTTTAGAAAAACATCCAGTGTTTTCTAAAACACTATTTCACATTTGGGGACAATGTATACCTTCAAATCAGCGGCACTGCTATGGGTACCCGCATGGCCTCACAGTATGCCAACATTTTTATGGCTTACTTAGAACAATGCTTTCTCAGCTCTCGTCCCCTAATGCCCCTACTCTACTTGCGCTACATTGAAGACATCTTCATCATCTGGACCCATGGAAAAGAAGCCCTTGAGCAATTCCACCATGATTTCAACAATTTCCATCCCACCATCAACCTTAGCCTGGACCAGTCCACACAAGAGATCCACTTCCTGGACACTACGGTGCTAATAAGCGATGGTCACATAAACACCACCCTATACTGGAAACCAGCTGACCTCTATGCCTACCACTATGCCTACCTACATGCCTTCAGCTTTCATCCAGACCGCACCACACAATCCATTATCTACAGCCAAGCTCGACGATACAACCGCATTTGCTCCAACCCCCAGACAGCGACAAACACCTACAAGATCTCTATCAAGTGTTCTTACAACTACAAGACCCACCTGCTGAAATGAAGAAACAGATTGACAGAGCCAGAAGAGTACCCAGAAGTTACCTACTATAGGACAGGCCCAACAAAGAAAATAACAGAACGCCACTTGCCATCACCTTCAGCCCCCGACTAAAACCTCTCCAACGCATCATCAAGGATCTACAACCTATCCTGAAAGATGACCCATCACTCTCACAGATCTTGGGAGACAGGCCAGTCCTTGCTTACAGACAGCCCCGCAACCTGAAGCAAATACTCACCAGCAACCACACACCACACAACAGAACCACTAACTCAGGAACCTATCCTTGAAACAAAGCCCGTTGCCAACCGTGTCCACATATCTATTCAGGGGACACCATCATAGGGCCTAATCACATCAGCCACACGATCAGAGGCTTGTTCACCTGCACATCTGCCAATGTGATATATGCCATCATGTGCCAGCAAAGCCCCTCTGCCATGTACATTGGCCAAACTGGACAGTCTCTACGTAAAAGAATAAATGGACACAAATCAGATGTCAAGAATTATAACATTCAAAAACCAGTCGGAGAACACTCCAATCTCTCTGGTCACTCGATTACAGACCTAACAGTGGCAATTCTTCAACAAAAAAACTTCAAAAACAGACTCCAATGAGAGACTGCTGAATTGGAATTAATTTGCAAACTGGATACAATTAACTTAGGCTTGAATAGAGACTGGGAGTGGATGGGTCATTACACAAAGTAAAACTATTTCTCCATGTTTATTTCCCCCTCCCCCCTGTCCACTGTTCCTCAGACATTCTTGTCAACTGCTGGAAATGGCCCACCTTGATTATCACTATAAAAGGTTTCCCCGCCCCGCTCTTCTGCTGGTAATAGCTCACCTTACCTGATCACTCTCCTTACAGTGTATATGGTAACACCCATTGTTTCATGTTCTCTGTGTATATAAATCTCCCCACTGTATTTTCCATGGTATGCATCCGATGAAGTGAGCTATAGCTCACGAAAGCTTATGCTCAAATAAATTTGTTAGTCTCTAAGGTGCCACAAGTACTCCTTTTCTTTTTGAGGATACAGACTAACATGGCTGCTACTCTGAAACCTGTCATATAGGTAAGTAAATCTGTGTAGTTCCATTGACTTCAATAGAGATATACAGATTTACATCAACTGAGAGTCTAGCCCCCAGGTAACAGAGTGTATTCCATGCCTGGATAAGCATAACTCTTTGATTCAGGTTTTTAGTGTATAATTTTCACATTCACATATTTAAAGTTCTCTTTGTGCAAATGAATGAATATTCACACGTTTTTCTTTCAGTATTCACTCAACCCTAGATAGAATGGATTTAATGTTCAGTTCTAATGAATTATTCAACTCATTTGTTGAATAATGTGATATTAATCTCTCCTAATCCAATGGTACAGAGTTTGAAGGGGATTCCCATAATTATGCAAGGGCAGTTAAATCGATTTAAGAGTGTCAATAACAACACATAACTGCTGCTTGATAGATGTATTTTATAATTAAAAGAGGGACAAATATTTTAGGAAGTATTATCAAAGTGATACTTCCTAAAATATTTGACTGTCTTTTATCATATATGACAGACTTAATGTGAGTATATGTATAATGTGAGTATATGTTTCTTTTGCTGAAAATGTACAGAACAGCTAGTTATCCTTAGAGACTGCAGTAATGAATATTTTTCTCAGAGTACATTACCTGTCCCTGCTCAGCAAGTGCCTTTTCTAGGTCCTCTATTTGAGCTTGTGATCTGTGTATTTCTGCTTGGAGCTGCTCACGCGTCTGTAGGATATGAGAAAAGATACATCAAACTTTCTCTAAAAGCCAAAATGCTAATGTAGATACATCAAACACTTAAAATATATCAAATACTTATTAAAGAATTTTGGGGGAAGTAATTTGCAGTGAAGTACCTATAACAGGGCCAATCATTAAAAATTTTAAAAGGAAAACTTGTATGATGGGATAATAATTTTAAGATAGAATTTAAGATTAAAATGAACATCATCCAGTTAACTAGCCACTTAAACAGCAAAAGATGAATTGCTTCTTACATTCGAATATTTGTTACACTCTTTGTTCACAGATCAGAAGAGTTTTTGCCCTTATCCAGTTCTATCAAAACAGGATGTTTAAAAAAGCAAATGGAGTAACATCGAGATTTGTTTTCCCATAAGAATGGGAGGAAAGATACATTAATAGGCTGAGGGGCATGCTTGATTTCTACCTGTATTTTTGTTGTTTTAAACTGATTTAAAAGAGACCAACAAATACGATGGCACAAATTGTCAAAAACAGCCTCTACATTTATGACCATAATTTTGAGTACACAAATGTCTAACTGTACTATACATAGATTTCAAGGAAAAAGGCCAATGGAAACTAGTTCACAGTCCAACACCTTTCTGTAAATGTGATGTATATATTTTATGGAGAATAAAGCTAATTCTAATTCTTAACTATTTTTATACATAAAATATGGATGTATGGGTGTGACATACCAGGGTACAATCCAGGCTAATGAGTAGCTGTGTCATTCCTTTCAAAATGTAAATCACTCCCAGCTGTGTCTGTGTGTGTGCTGCAACCAATCAGCCATACCTGGGCTCTTACCGGCCTTGGTTATGCTACAGGGTGACCCCAACACACACCCCAGTCCTGTATTTTGCCCCAGAAACATATTTCCTCTATATACTGTGCTCATCACCATAGTATCTGAGCACTTGCAGTAGTGCCTTAAGCAACATGACTACACATCTGTCACATGTTATTTGTTCTCTCATCCTCTTCCCAGGGGAAAAAGCATATGCAGCTGAGTGTCTTCTCTTGGTAGGTGTGTCTTTTTAATAGAGCCATTGCTGTGTTTATATTAGAGAAGGCAAGACCAAAGAAATGCTTTTTGCACTTGAAGTGGAAAGTGGTGAGGTTTGTGACGGTCCTTAGTTTTGAGGGGAGTTCATTACAGAGTCTTGGACTGCCCCCAGAAAAAGTTCAGTCTCCTTGGGGTGAGCTTTACTCTTATTATTGAGAGTTCCATTGTGTCTGAGGAGTGAAGTTGTTGACCACACTCTTTGTCCTGGAGCTTTGGATGATCCTTTAGATACTCTGGGCCCATACCATGGAGTGCTTTGAAGATAAGGACTGAAACCCTAGTCTAGGGGAAACCAAGAAGGGAGCAGAACACAGATTTGATATGTTCTTGGTAGCCTGTATTGCTCAAAAGATGCACTACAGCATTCTGAACTAATTGGAGTTTTCTAAATTCTGAAGGCTTGATGTCCAGTTTGTATTGTATTGCTGTAATCCATCTGAGAGGTGACAAATGCATGTATAACTGAGACCAGGTCTTCATCCACCAGGAGGGGACAGAGTTTCCTAATCAAGCAGAGGTGGTAGAAAGCATTACTCACAAATGCTGATATGTGAGAGCTTGGTGTCAGTGAGGAATCCAAGTATATTCCTAGACTATGGACTGAATTGACCAATTGTGAGCGTGTATCTTCAACCAAAGGAGACTGCACTGTGGTTGCAAGCTCTTCAAAATACTTGACTTTGCCCATCAGCATCACCTCTGTCTTGCTTGGGTTCAGCTTCAAGCAGCTGTTCTTTATACAAGTGCTGATCTCAACTGAACACTGGGCCATCTTGGTGGTAGTGGTCATATGTGGTGAAGGATGGATAGAACTGTGTATCAGCTGCATATTGCCAACACTTGAGTCTTTGTGTCATCTGACCAGTTCACCTAATGGTTGCATGCAGATGTTGAAAAAGACTGGAGAGAGAATTGATCATTGTGGAACTCCACAAGTGCAGAATCTATCAGTGGAGCTGCAGTTTCCCATCACTATTTGTTAGCACCATCCTTCCAGGAAGGACACAACCCAATTTAGTACATTACCTTGGATCCCTGTCACCTCTTTTAGGTGAGACAGCAGACTCTCATGGTCAACAGTGTTGAATACTGCAGAGAGGTCCAGTAGGATGACAATCCATATCTGTCCTTTAACCAATTTTACAAGAGGAAATCATCTATCAGTGCCACTAAAGCGGTTTCAGTTCTGTGACCTGGACTGAATCTAGATTGTGCCAAGTCTAGAACATTAGTTTTAATTAAATGACCTCGTAGTTGGCTTTTTGCTAGCTTCTCAACATACATGAAGGCAACTCTTTTGTTTATTCCTGCACTCAGTTTGGTTGAGAATATATATTTTCAGAGTAAGTGAATTTTAGAGCATATGTAGATTTAAAATCTATAAACAAACACATCTGAAAACAAAATGATCCAAATTCAACTCCTCTTCTGCTTTCATGCCAAGAGCTGAGTTCAGGGTTCACTTCTTCCTATTCAGCTGATGTCCCCACTAACAGTTAAAAAATAAAACAAGGAGTATTGATGCTTACACTAAATATTAGCATTGCCATCAGGTCTTGCAGGCACAACAGAGAGCCCGGAGCTGAAGTATTGGCAGGTAAAAAGTTTTTCAGTTTATGTTTTAAAGAAAAGTTGCTCATTTTACTTGGAACAGAACTCTGGAAAGAACTAATCTCAACGGATACTTTACTGCTTCTTCCCAAGGCAATAGCAAAATTACCCAAGTATAAACGGAGAATATATTGTTTAACTGGAACTGGCAATTTGCAAATAACACAATCTGTGTTAAACAAGTTTACCATTAAGAGGAACTCAGTTGTAAAGCCATTGAGGGTTCTCATTGTACCCTCAACCTCTGCTTCAGGCAAGGTACCTTTTGGATCACATGATTACTCTGCTGAGAACAAGGGTAGCTTGGTGGCCTATAAATGTGGTTGGGCAGGTTGCAGACAGCAGTAGCAGCATGAGGAAAAGACCAGTTCTGCTCCTTTTGCACCTGACAACCCCAATCCCAGGAAGTTTTCCCCACCTATAAACCTACTGAGGTAGTTAGTGAGGCAGGTAGTTAGCCAGTTAACACCAAAACCTTGTAATTATATTTTGTTTTGCCTTATTTAATTGTTTTTATTATCTGGGTGAATTTTCCTTCTGGTGTGTGGGGTTTTGTTTGTTTTGTATTGGGAAAAGTTGAATTATTTCATATTTGTAGTTGCTTCTTGTTTCACCATCACTTTCTTAATGTTTGCAACTTCTACCATGTCAGAGCAGATAGCAGGCAGGCCTTAAAGAAGATTAATTTCTAAAACTGTTTCACAGATCAAACAGAGTGAGACAATACTTATCTCTCAATCTGGCTATCTGAGAGACAAGGGATTAGTCTACTTGCAAGAATATTAGAGAACCCAGCAGTATAGACTGCTGTGGAATTGCCTACCCATTACTTTAAGTTACTTAGTGGAAATGAAGCATTACCTAGATGGCCAGGTCTGGAAAGCCAAAATATTGATTCAATCTTAGAACTCAAGCAGGGGAAAGTGGGGTTATCCATTTTGTGTTTACTTTGGTTATGGGTTGGGAAAGCAATCAGACTACCCCACTGCTGTAGGAAATAGTCATGGTTGTACTAATATTTGACACTTTTATAATTTTAATAAAGTTATTGCTAATATGGCCATTTTGCCCTAAGACTGTGTTGGACTCTCCTGGAACAATGTGCTTATGAAAAGTGAAAGTGACTGCTCCATCACTTACGTAATAGATTTAGAGCCAAATTGAGAGCTTGTAGGAGCACCTCCATGAATGAGATTGCATAGAGTGGAGGTCAGGGCAGAATTAACATGTACATATTTTGTTCTTTGTCCAAACCAGATATATTCTAATCCTTTCAATCAATTTTCAAATAGTAAAATTAAATGTGACTGTATTAATTGTCCTTCCAGCACTTTATAATGAATAATTTATTCATAATACAATACAGATATGTATTTATAATGTAAATTAAAGGAGGTAATTAGCTGCAACTACCTTTCTAAGGGGCCATCTGAGGAAGATAGGAAGGCACAATGAAATAATACATTTTGCAATTCAATTAAGAAAATGAATCTCGTTTTGAACTATAAGCCTTTTAAAAATGTTATGCAGAATCATGTAATCTCAGTAAATCCAGGTTTGAATTTTGGGCATTAACTATTTAAGAATATTGGTAATAGATTTTTACCGACGGGAAGCTTAATTTTCCATAAAATATTCTGCTTGACACTCTTGTAAGCTGATCAGTGGTATAAAAATATAAATGCATTAGCCATGGTTTCTTCAGCAACCAGCACTTCAGTGTAAGAGAGTGGAAATCTGACTGCTTTTAGAGACCATAAATTACAACACTGCATTTGAGAGAGCAGTGTAGACGCATTAGTTATTCACAGAAGACAATATTATGGAGAGACACTACCATGAGGAATATCAAACAGGTGTTTTTTCTGTCCACATCAGCAAGTGCCATGGATGATTAAAGGAAAACAAAGGAGGGGGAAAAAGAGAAGCCTCCTGAAAAATGTTGAAACCCAATTTAACTCTTTTTCAACTACTACTAACATACAATTGCCTGTGCAGTACCCCTTCATATCCTAGTCAAATTCTAATCTGAGTAATTACTTTCACTCAATCTACAGTCTAGCTGCAATTTTATTTGGAAGATAATCTTCCCTTCTTCTCCTAAACTTCTATATACTGTTGTTGTGTTTTGGCCCAGAAATGGTTGGTGGCACAATCTCTGAGTTTACCCAGTGTATCACTTTGGAACCTATCATTGTGAAAGGCACTTTATAAACTTATGATTATATCATATATACATGCATATTAAACTACTGTAGACCAGATCCTCAGCTGGTGTAAATTGACATAGCTTCTTGATCTTCAATGGCACGACCCCAATTTACACCAGCCAAAGATCTGGCCCATTATCACAACAACCTGAGCAAGTAAAATTAGAAAAATATACATAATTGCAATCCTTTATTTTCACGTAATATAAGCCATTTAGACCTTAACTTCTCGTTCTGCATCCAATGTTCCTCCAACCTGTTCTTGCAACAGAGCATATGCTCGTTGCAAAGCCTGATATTCCATTGTCAACTGCCGAAATCTCAATTCTGTTTCTTCTTTGGCCATGCCCTGAAATGAAAAAAAAATTGATGCTTCCAAAACTGAAAGTAAAGAAAGCCTAACAGAAACCTATACGTATTTGCTATGAAGAAGGAAGTTGGTGGCATTAGAGCCAATAATTTATAGTACTTTTAAAATATGAGTTAGCAAGTGCTGTCCATAAGGTGTTCTTTAAGTGCTCTCTAGATATTTCAATCTTGCCAGGAAAATATCACGTAGACACACTTCACTGAAATGCAAGACGTGTCTTTCTTTCAGAGTTAGCACTACTTGCCAGCACTGCTGATCACAACCATTATGAAGAAAAGTTCCTCCTTTTTGCAGAAAGATGCAGAGTATGTCATCCATGAAGCACTGTAACTGTTGAACCGACTCTCAATCACTGCACCACACACAGTCACCACTGGTGATGTGCCAATGGCATTTCTGAAGTAACATATGACATTTGCGTTGGTACTACGTTCTTCAAATGAGACAAAGACAAGGAATGAATAGTGAATGGATGACCTGATTTTCAGAGACACTGAGCATCCACAGCTACCACTGAAGTCAATGGATACAGTCAATAAAAAAACACCATGGCACAGAGTCTCAGAGCCGGGGTCAACTGACTTATGCCCATGGGGCTCAGGCTGTGTGGCTAAAAAATGCAGCGCAGGTGTTTGGAGTTGGGCTGCCGCCCAGGCTCTGACACCCAGCGCCCTCATGGAGTTACAGAGCCCAAGCTCCAGCCCGAGTCCAAACACCTACACTGCAATTTTTTAGCCCCGCAGCCTGAACCCTGCAAGACCAAGTCAGCTGATCAAGGGCAACCTTGGTTATGCTGCTGCTGGTCTTTTATTTCAGTGTAGATGTACCAAATGAGATATGTGGATCTTCAGCACCTCTCACTGATCTTCTTTACATATCCTGCTTTAATGCTGAACTACATTAGTATGGTTCATTAATATGATGAATTCCATATAAGTGAAATTCACTTTATGCAATAGCCAGGACTATTTTGAAGGCTTATATGCAACTTCAGTGGTGCACAGAACTTGAGCCAACTGTCTGCATGAGTGAATTTCATGCTATAGGAATAAGGAGAAGTATTTGCTCAATGTGTGTATTAAAAATGAATCAACAGATTCATGTTTCTCTCTCTCACACACACACTTAAATCGTGTAGCCAGCTATAACACGGATATGAATGATTACATTCCCTTCTTTAGAAATCTGCAATTCAGCTGTGAAACAGATGGCGAAGGGCTGATTGAAATGATGCAGGTATTAAAGAATCAGATGCTGTAAAAACATATTTCACTATCATGGGGCTTATTTTTTTCTATAGCAATGTTCTTGCTGGAGCCTAGAGACAGGTAATGGTCCATAGATCTGACATGAGATTCTGAAAACGCGCACTGACTTTATCTGGAATGTACTTTTGGGAATAGTCTTCAAAATACAGGTGGTATTTGGCCACTGGTGCCTGCCTGCAGTATTTCTTAACAGCTGCCTCTTCTTATTCTGACATCAGAAGCTGCAGAATGGCGACCTCTGTTGAGGGGCTGGTGAAAAGACAGAAGTACTTATAGAGTCTTTCTGCTGCCTTGGCTCACACCATGGATTTGGACAATTCCATTCAATATGGATTCGGGCTGTGCTCTGAAAATACACCTAAAACTTAGGTTGACCTAGTTATATTGCTCAAGGCTGTGAAAAATTTCACGCCCTCTGCAACACAATTAGGTTGACCTAACCTGCATGGTAGTCGCAGCTGAGTGGATGGAAAAATTCTTTAATCAAAGCCTAGCTACTGCCTCTCGAGGGGGTGAATTTACTACAATGACAGAAAAACCCGCTCTGTCACTGACACGTGAACGTTGCAATGCTATAGCGGTGTAGCCTCAAAGCTGCAGCTGTGGCTCTGTTATGCTTGTAGTGCAGACAAACCCTTATGTCAAAATGTGAAGTCACTGGATAAGATGAATGTTGAGCTCAGTTTATACGTGAAGCTAAATATGCATTCAATCCCAATATGAATCTTCCCAGCCAAAACGCTTCATAAGGTCCGCACAGCCTTTTCAGTATTCCCACCCCTAAAAATCTGCTAAGCCCCACACTTCTAGGGATAGAAATTACATAAGGTTTCAGGGTTTTGCCAACAATAGTGAGTGTCTAAGGACTTGCCCCCAAAAGATCAGCCTCCATGCATAGGATTAAGCTCATGATCATTTGACTACACCAGATTTTAGTTTTCTAGTTAAAGGGTACATCAATGTGGAGTTCTCCATAAACAAGGGCAGGATAATTGTCTTAATAATATGATCAACAATTCTGAGTTAGATATAAGAATACACAGGATAAATTTAAGTGTCATCACATATTCTAGATTAATGAAAAAATACCTCTTCCAAGTCATCATCAGGAGTGCAAGGCGTTTGATCTGTTCTGTCAGTTTGATACGAGATAGAAGAACCATCAGACTCCAGAGAAGCTTCTTCATCATAGCCAAAAAATGTCTCCACAACCGGCTTCTGACCAAATGAAAATGTGTAAGTGCAGCTGAACAATGCAAATAAACCTTACAATATGGCATAGCCAGCTGAGCCCCTTAAATGTCTGAAAAACCCTCTGATGAGCATCTCCAGTAATTCTGAAGCAGAGTGTGGCTTAAACAGAAAATTTGTATTCTAGACTTTGTACTCTGCTTCAGCATACAGCGATATGCTTTTCAAAGTGTGGTTTCCCTCTATTTGTTTTAATGAACTCTCTCAGGGGAAAATGAATTGTTCTCATACTAAAGTATCAGGAGAGTTTCCAATCTGTTACTTATTTCTAAATACAGAAGTTGCTTCTTCATAAATTGGTGGTAAACTTTTTTTAGACCATCCATAATGTTCTAGTAAAACTGTATGTTGCTTTAATTTGCTGAGTGGGTTATTTTATATGTTATTTGGAAGCATGGAGTCCTCTCTTAGAAGTGCTTTGTCATATTTATTTTATTTAGTTTGCTTCAAATTTTAGGCAGTATGTAGTTCTTTAACCACATCATCCATTCCCCCATCCAGCTGTATGTGTTTGTGTACATACATACCAGCACATGCCTAGCCTTGTACAATTAGTCTGGGATTTGTTTGGCCCACAGTAGTTAGGGATTGAATTTCACATAAAACACAAGGGCCACTGCTCTGATTTACACCTTCTGCAACCCCACTGAGGCTTTGACCCTTCACCTAGCGTATAGTTTACTACTAATTCTGCTCCTTGACTTTTCACCTTCTCCAACCACTGCACAAGTACATTAATTATCCATCAGACAGACTCTGTCATTAATATTGCCTTCTTCCATCCCACTGAGCACTAATTGTAATGCTGCTGCTGCTGCTTATGACCAATCATTTTTGTGTATGTCGCTCAATTTTATAATGAATTATTTACATCTGACATACATTTTTAGGCACTGTTGTAAAAAATGAGTTAACTTTATGATTTTCTAATTCACAGAAGCTGTCTACTCTATACACAAATTGTCACTTGTTATTGAGTTCCTGAGGGATGCTCAAACTATGCACAGTACAGTTTGTGTATTAAAGCGCACATATTAAAAAGCAAGCAATGTGCAGTTTAAACAGTTGACTTCCTATAGCACATGTATTATATATCACGGATGAATATTACCAACACCAAGGGTGAAATTGGGGGTGAGAAAGATGACAATGTTCTTCCATCCTCCACCCACAAAATCAATCCACACATTCTTGTTTTAGATGACCATAAAAATCTATTTAGGATTGTTCTTAAACTGCTTGACCTACACCAAAGACTCAAAAGTCACTTCTAAGTTTGAGTCAGTTTTTGCTTGCTGAACGCTGGATCCTTAAGGTGCAATCCTGTCCCCATTGACCTCAGTAGAGCCAGCATGCACCCTTGCTGCCAGATTTTGAGAGTTGCTGAGCACTTGTATCGACCATTGATGTCACTAAGCAAGATATTGTGCTCATCAGCTCTATACAAATAAATATAGATTTAAACTTTATTTTTTACCTTAGGGAGTTTTGTCATTTTCTTCCTTTGTTTCCTATACCTTAAAAGCTTATCACGTTCCTGGAAAAATGAATTCGATACATTTGTTAGCTAATGTCAGTGTTTTATCTTTTAATTGCTCTGTGTAAATGTTTGCATTATCCTTCAAATTGGCCAAAAGTAGTTTCAGTACCAGCCATTGCATTATAATGCAATGAGAAATAGACAATTTTTCATCAATCAAATACTAACTGCTCTCCAAAATACTGCAAGTTTGTAGTCAGAACATATCAGTTGTTTGAGTCTATAGATGAAAATCCTGACTGCTCCATACCATACATGACATCCTAGGCCTGATTTTACAGAGGCTCCATGGGCAGAACACTCATTGAATTCTGTGTTATAGAATATCCTGGCAGTATTGAGATGCAGGGGTGAATACTGTTTGTGGATGTGTGCATGGCTTCTACTATTTTCAAATGAAACCATGGGCACTTGTCATCTGACCCAACTGCAGAAAATTCAGGGCCTGATTTTCAAAAGTGCTGAGTTCACATAACTTCAGTTGACCTTAACAGGAACTGTGGGGGCTCAGCATCTCTGAAGATCAGGCTTCAGCTTTTTCTGTTATCAGGAAGTATTTTTATTCAGTGGCTATTATGAAAGATCTAATACTAGTGGTAATGAATTTTAACACATTATGAAAAATGTTTTGTTCTGGGGGATTAACAAAGAAAAGCCCCAATATTGATAAAACAATACAGGTTAAAAGAAAAGACCAATCCCTATTATCCTCCAGCTCATTCATTTCCTAACAGGATTCAAAACATATTATGGGACAGATTGATCACATATTCTTATTGCTGCTGACATCATCACCATTAATGAAGATTGTACAAACAGAAAAATAGTGCCAATAGTTTTGTGAATGGCAGACTAGAACAGAAATCACTTTTCCTTAGCTTCATTGGCTTTGTTGTGCTGACAGCAGTGAAAACAGACTTTCGTCAGTAAAACTTAGCAGGTGTGACTTGCACTCAGTAAATGCCCATCTACAATAGCAAAAGGGATCCTTAGCTGATAGCAGTGGGTCCCATTGCACAGGTTCTCAATACGCCAGTGTGGCTAGGACAAGACTATTTTCAGGCCAATTGTAGAAAGCATGACTGCTGCTTGGTGGAAACTGTCCCTCTGGGTTTTCAGCTCAGGAAGCACCTCTGTATTTTAGGGGGCTACAGGACCCCACTGTTGAGGCTGCCAAGTGGATGCACTAATTGGTGCATTGTCTGAGCAACTGCCCGTGCTGACTTTTTAGGCTGTACTTTCTTTTCATAAAACCCACAGGTGAAAGGGAAGTTGAAACTGTTTTCCAGTATCACAATCTTACTCCCACCTCAATGAATTTCTGCTGCTAGGGTCTTCATTGATAGAATCCCTGGGTTAAATCTAGCCTCTGAATATAAAGTAAATTCATAACAAATATTACTTTGAAACACTTCATTAATACCAGAGAACATGAGATGTTGCAGCTGGTCTGCATGATCTCAAAGAACCACTGTCTAAAATATACAAAGAGGAACAGAGTGAAATTAAATATATGCCTTACTTACTATTACGCTCTTCACATAGCCAGCAGTTTCAAGGGTCTAATAAAAAATAATTAGAGAATGTCATTAAGTGCAAGGTTTCAGAGTAGCAGCTGTGTTAGTCTGTATCTGTAAAAAGAAAAGGAGTACTTGTGGCACCTTAGAGACTAACAAATTTATCAGAGCATAAGCTTTCGTGAGCTACAGCTCACTTCATCGGATGCATTCAGTGGAAAATATAGTGGGGAGATTTTATATACACAGAGAACACGAAACAATGGATGTTACCATACAGACTGTCACAAGAATGATCAGGAAAGGTGAGCTATTACCAGCAGGAGAGTGGGGTGGAGGGAAACCTTTTGTAGTGATAATCAAGGTGGGCTATTTCCAGCATTTGACAAGAACAGTAGGAGGGGAAATAAACAAAGGGAAATAGTTTTACTTTGTGTAATGACACATCCACTCCCAGTCTTTATTCAAGCCTAAATTAATTGTATCCAGTTTGCAAATTAATTCCAATTCAGCAGTCTCTCGTTGGAGTCTGTTTTTGAAGTTTTTTTGTTGAAGAATTGCCACTTTTAGGTCTGTAATCGAGTGACCAAAGAGATTGAAGTGTTCTCCGACTGGTTTTTGAATGTTATAATTCTTGACGTCTGATTTGTGACCTGATCACTCTTGTTACAGTCTGTATGGTAACGTCCATTGTTTCGTGTTCTCTGTTATATAAAATCTCCCCACTATATTTTCCACTGAATGCATCCGATGAAGTGAGCTGTAGCTCACAAAATCTTATGCTCTGATAAATTTGTTAGTCTCTAAGGTGCCACAAGTCCTCCTTTTCTTATTAAGTGCAAGGGTATATACATTTTATTGGCTTTCTACTTAATTGCACAGCCTGTTTCCACACTTTTAAAAAAAAAGTATGAATTATTTTAGTTGTAATACAAGACACAAGAAATCTTTCATTTATTCAGGAAAAACCCCCACAATGGATGTGACAAGGCTGGCAAGTGAGAGCATTCCATTCTGTGTGGCTAACATCCTGTCATGGTGCTACTTTAAAGCTGTAATCGGTATTGCAGTAGAATATTATTTAACTGGATTCTGCAGGCCATACCTAGGTTTAACTCTCATTTGCTGTAACTGGAATTTTACCTGAGTAAGGACTAAAGACTGGGTCCTTTTAAAGCTAAATTATCCCCTCCAACACTGCCTGTAGAGGGGATAAAACCTGGTGGATCCAGGAGGAGGGATGTGGAAGTTTGGAGGAGTACTACCTTTACAACATCATTTAGTTGGGGATTGGTCCTGCTTTGAGCAGGGGGCTGGACTAGATGACCTCCTGAGGTCCCTTCCAATCCTGATATTCTATGATTCTATGATCATACTGCTCTTTCCCTGAGGAGGAGGGGGTGAGCCAGGAAGACACTCGCTGTCTATGGAATAAACACTCCTCAACCCAGAGGGATTCCTCACCCGAAATTTATGCTGACTTGAAATTCCCTAATGTCCCTGCCCAAAGTGAAAAACTCTGAGTAAAAACTCGCGGAATTTACAATTCCCAAAGCAGCATTAGCTCATGTAGATGACCTATGGTCCACAGTTGTTATAGAACTGGCTTTGGGATGTTTAAGAAAAATCTGTATAGCATTTAAAAAAAATTTACTATGAAGCGTGCTTAAGGATCCATTCAAGATTTTATTTTCTCCCCCCACACACCTGTGGGCTGGAGCCTCAACTTTGCTGATCACAAGAAGCATTATTAAAAGGAAATTATTAAAAGGAAAACAAATTTTAAAAGATTTAAGCATCTTAAAATAATCCTAAAACATTGGAAAATATTCCCTTTCATAAGTCTCCTGTTTTTAGGCATGATCTTGTTCCCATTGAAGTCAAAGAGAGTTTTTCCATTGACTTTAATGGGATTAGGATCTGGTCATTAGTGTGTTTCCCAGAAAGCTCAGAATAACTGAAAGAAGCTCCTTTATGCAAATGTTGAGCTGAGTGTAAGGGATCTTTCAAATAATGTTCCACCTATTACTTTAGGTTCAGTTCCATTATAAAGGGAAGCCCATGGAAATCATCACCGTATGTTTGTTGACAACACAAGCTGTTCCTGCTTGCTTGGTGTCTTCTTTTCTTTTGCTATGTCCAAGAGCACTAGGAAGGCTGTGCTATTTGATTACCTTAGAGAGTTCGTCTATGATATTTTGCTGTTCAATAATTTGTAACCTCAGAAATTCAACTTCTCTTTCTTCTTGACTCTGGTCAAGATCATTTAAAGAGCTTGGTCTCCTTATTATCCCAGCCCTTTGTCTCTGGAAAAAAACAACAACACAGAACAAAATTGCAAATGATTAAAAGTCTTTGCCAACATGCAGCATATAATCCTTCCCTTTTACAACCAGTAATTCATCTGGGCTATTTGCTAAAATGATGGTGATTCTCTCTCTGCCTCCCCCACTTCCTGCCCCAAACAATAAATCTAGGTTGGGATTCTAGCTCCTCAGGCCAGAAAAAGCTAGAAGCTAGGGCATCAGGAAGGCATCATGCTCATAGTCACCAGAGAGCAAAGTCAGTTTGTATAGCTCTCATGCACCATCTGGTAGCCCACTGAGGACTTAGATTAACATAAGTCTTGGAAAGGACAGTCTGTTCAGCTTTATATCGCTGAAGGAGGAATTTAAAGATGTGGCAAAAGAAATCCTAAATGGAGGTTAATTCTTTTCTGAATTGTTCCCATTATCTTCAGCAGGACAGGATCTGGAGAGTGTGAGAGAAACTGAACTTTAAGAAAAAAGTGTTTTTGGTCCTGTTGCATGCATGTAATCTCTCACTTACTCAACTACCATTAATGTTCAACTTTAAACATAAACAAATAAAAATATTGAGTCACCGGTGCAAATTTCCAAATCACTGGAAGGCAGTTGTGATACAAAAATCACAATTCAAGTGACATCATTTGCATTCCTATTCTCCTGAGTACTACTGAGCATTCAGCTGAATCAAAATATAGGCATTTTACTATTTTATTATAGCTCAGAATTTTTTTTTTTAAAGCTAAAGTAAAACATTTCCTGAACTGTTTCTTGACCACTTTCCCACTGTATAACTGGACCGTCATCGGTTAATAAGCAAAAGCCATAAGTCACTTATTATGTATAACATAATACCAGAAAAAACACTTAGAACAATGAAAACACTTGTTTAATATCCTGCAAGCTTGTGATGATATTTTTGTTAAATTCCTGATTTCCTCAAAACTGTATATATTATTTGCTCTTCTTATAGATGACAGTGGCAAGAGGGAAACCTACCATTTCTATGTTCTCTTGTGTTACAAATTTTAATTTATTTTCCATTCGACGTAAGGCATGGGATAAATCTTCATTCTTCCTACTGAGACGCTTATTTTTGTCCAGGAGAGGTTTATACTGACTTTCTGCTTCTCTTAGACGTTTTAACTGAAATATTAAAAGAATGCATTCACTCAGTGTAGCGATTTCTATTTATCACTTGAAAACATAGCCATAGAATGTATTAAAACTCAAGTCATTTTACTACCATAGTAATAGAATTCACTTCCAATTTTGAAAAATGCAAGTCAGTGTCCTCTTGGATTCCTAGGTTCTGTTCCTGTCTCTGCCATTGACTCACTGTGTGACCTTGGGCAAGATGCTTGACCTCTTTAACTCTCATTTCACCCATATACACAACCCTCTCCCTTGCCTACACACGCAAACCCTTCATTCACATATCCAGTGAAGTACTGGGGGTTGAGGGAAAAATATGTAACAGGGCCAGGAACAGAATGACAGCAGCAGTTTTTTAAATCAGGTCCCCTCCAATTTCTGTTAACTTGGGGCCTGTTCCAAAGCCTACTGAAATCAATGGAAAAATTGATCATGTCCTCAAGGCACTCCATCAGACTGTCTTCTGCTGATCTCATGAAGGTGCCAGGGATTCAAATGTATCTGTCCATTTGATTTATCTATCTAGGTTCTTACATGGCACCTATCACTCAACATTATGAATACAGGCACAAGACATTTATATTTCCCTCTCCTTCTTCTGGACTTTGGGTGTATTTTGTGTGTTCCTTTGTGTTGTTATTGTGGGAAAATTCTTCTCTCTGTCCCCCAACAGGCCAGAGGAGAGAAACCTGGGTTAGAGATGTCAACTCTCACCCCCCGGGGGAGGGGTGGGGAGGGTGGGGGGCAGGGAGGGTTCAGAAATTCTTCTTTCCCCTCCTCACATCAGAGGTCATTGGAGAGGGTGTCATCACAGGATTGCACTCCCTCCCCTCAGTGGGCAGGGAGTGGCTCAGCCTGGCAACTCTGGGCACTGGATGCTTGGTAGAGTGAACAGGAGGCAGGATCTGTACTCTGCTTGCTGTGCCATTTCTAGTACTGGAGCATACAGAACAAGCTGAGCACATATCAGTTCAAGCTCAGCCCAGCAGCTCATACTGGGCACTGACTTGACTGAGCAAATGCTAAGTTATAACAAGGTGACATTTTGACAGTGCCTCTTTCAAGAGTTTTTAAAATTCATTATAAGTTAAAAACAACAAAACCTGTCACAACCTGAGACTTTTTCTAACACTAAAACTGTCAATCCTTCATGCGTAAAAGCCCACTGTAAGGCTGAGACCCTTTAAAAGGGCATAGTGTGAACATACTGCAGAAAAAAATATACTCCTACTGATGTATTTAATTAAAGGTTCCACTGGAAAAAAATGCCAACCAATATCTACTTAAAAATAAAACAGGGTTCTTTGTTTTATGAACTAAACATATTGTGGCAATGTTATGTTATTGTATGGAATACTATCAGGTGTAAAGGAAAGAGAGAAGCCAAATGTCCAGATTTACAGTGTTAGCAATTTTGTAATCTAATATGGATGCTATATGTAACCTCAGATTACACTGTTGAATTGCTGGTCTAATATTCTCCATAATTCAGTCTATATGGAGTTTTCCTGCATGGCACCAGTACTGTAAAATACATTCTGTGTTTGACAGCATACATACCATTAACTAGCAAATCTTTAAACAGCATTCTGTATGGATGCCACAGCAATTTGCATTTCAAACCCACGGCGGACAAAGTTCAGCCCTAGTGGAATTCCATTGCGGCCCATAAAGTTGTACCAGAGATGACAAACGATGTTCTACATACGGTGTTCTCATTTTCAGCAAATCTAATATGCCCACTGTGTATTTTTAACTCAAAAGAGATTAGATTCTACAAGTATGGGCAATCAATAAGAAGGAGCAAATAGTTTGGATAATATGGGCCTATACAAATCTTCTCCCAAAACCTGAACCAAACCCAATCCTGAATCCAAAGTTGCTGTTTTTTTAGGCTTACACATCTGCCCTTCTTCCATCAATTTTGTATGTAACTTAATTGCCTGGAAAGAGCAGTGGAAGTGCCAGAATAGGAACATGGCATCTACTCCTCAGGATTGGGGCATTGGTTCATCATCTCTGAAATCCAAACTATGACAGTGGCAAATGCCTGATGCTTCAGAAGAAGGGGGAAAATATCCATAATACATCTGACCAATTTTGCCATGTCATACAAAGGGATAGGACAGTGTGGGATGGGGCGAGCTGACCAGGTTATGAGATTTGATTAGCCCTTTACAGGAGACAGGCATGGCTACAGCTGAATGATTGGTTTTAAAATTACCCCTTAATTTTGAGCTAGAGTACTTGATTCTGTGACCTCTTGCAGTAGTGAATTTTATGGTGATAAGCATTTCTCATGGTTTTTTCTGCCAGGTGGGAAGCACCTCTAAGAAGCTGTGCATTTTTGCTCCCACTTTCACAAATTCAAGAGCCTCCATTCTGCTCTTCAGGTCTTCCATGCTGCCTGGATAATGTCCCCATTCACTCTCTGGGGATCAACTGAGAATTAATACTACCTAATGCTTGAATCTTCCAAAGCAGATGTTCTTCTCTTACTCTGTAAATATGTTCTGCATATGAACCATGATAAAGGAGTTTAATGTTGTCTCTAGTGAGTGTCCACCTGCCAGTGCAAATTCTGATACACATTCTTTTCCTAATAGTGTAACGGTAGTTCCTACTTACAAGCTCATTTCTTTCTTCTGACAGCAATGCATTCCGATCTTCCAGCTTCCGGATTATTGCACTTAGCTCAGCAATTTTAAGTTGGAAACGCCGGGCATCTTTTTCATCCAGCTGCTGTTCCTAAAACAAAGACCGACTGCAAATAACTGTTCATAAAATCAAACTTTTTCAAAGACACCAACTTTGCTCTTGTCTGAATTCAACTATTTCTGACCGATTGCACAGGAGAATGTAATCTGTGCCCTAGTACAGGGGTTCTCAACCTTTTTCTTTTTGAGGCTCCCCCAACATGCTACAAGAACTCTACGGCCCACCCGTGCCACAACTGCTTTTTCTGCATCTAAAAGCCAGGACCAGCATTAAGGGTTAGGAAGCAGGACAATTGCCTGGACTCCATGCCACAGGGGTTTCCACAAAGCTAAGTTGCTCAGGCTTTGGCTTCAGCCCCAGGTGGCAGGGCTGGGAGCCCTGAGCTTCAGCCCCACACAGCAGGGATTCAGCTTTCTCCCCTGGGCCCCAGAAAGTCTAACACTGGCCCTGCTTGGTGCCCCCCCCCCCAAACCTGCTCGTAGCCTCTCAAGGGCCCCAGACCTCTTGTTGAGAACTTCTGCCTTAGAACTGAAACTGCAAGATGAGACCAACAGAAAATTGAAAGAGCAGAAATGTAAGAAAGTATGCAAATGCAAAAGTATGTATATGCAAATACAGAATCACAAATGTTAAACTTGGAAACATGAGAGACAAAAATTGAAAACTAAGGCAATGTTTCCAATATATGCCACTGTTGAAATGAGTATTTCAGACATGTGACTCACTCTAAGTAGTCTGTTATAGGGAAATTATATTTATAAATACTGAAAAATAAATATAGAAAGTCCATGCAATTATACTATTGCATAAGTTTCTCTCCTATGAAGTTGTGGCCCTACTGTAGCTTCTAACTGGTCAGTCATAAAGGTTTATGCTTTAATCGACCAAAAAGTGAAAATGTTTAAATCAAATTGTAAATGAATACAAATATAAGAAGACATGGTTTTATTCTTCTAAATCAGAGAGCAGTTACATTATAATTACAAAAGTTATAGGATTTTTTTTCTTTCACTAGCATTATTCCAATGTTTGATAAAACTTAAGTACAGAACTTTAATCAGAGCAAGCAAATTAAAGTCCATGATCCTAATGGAAATTTCAGAAGTTCTAGGATTCCTCATTCAACAGGTGCAGGAGAGGCTCAGAATAAAGGATAAAAGAGATTTTCTTGTTTATGTTTTCTATTATCTATACTTTTACTGAGAAAATTAAGAACTGCTGCAAAATAAATCTTGATGAGAATCAACAATGAAAAAAGTTAACATATGTCACAGACATATGAAGTCAGTGAACTGAAAATTTTTACTATTAGCAAATTAATGCAGAAGCAGGAAGGTGGCATAGTTGCATAGAAAGCCAATATAAAAAGGTGACAAATTTAATGCCATAAGATATTGCATAATATGAAAGAAACAGTGGAGAATAGGTTAGTAGGTATTTAGTTCACTTCCTAGACCACTGGTTGAAAGCAAAAGCTCTTTAGCAGGATGTAAATATTAATAATAGAGATGTTTCAGTAGGACTGGAATACCCTGTAAGCGTGCATGCTGTTGGTTACACGACCTTTACTGATTTCCCTTTGTAAATTGTTCTTCTACATTTGCTTACAACACATACTGTTAGTAGCCTGGAAAACTAGCACACATACATTACTAGAAAAGCATTTGCATAATTTGTCAGCAGATACTATGTCACACTGTCAAATTAAGGCAGGTGTTTGAAGTCGGATACATTTTAAAAAACTGAGTATTTCACCTTGCTAACAAAAACCAAACTAAACCAAAAAAGCAAAAGCTTTCCCATGATCAGATTTTATTTTATTTTTAAAGATCCCGCTATTGAATTGCCGCATTAAAAGAAATCTCCTTGGTTTGCTCTGTACTGCTATGGGAAAGCTGTTGCTTAAATGTGCACTCATCAAGATTTTTGTCATTTTTTGTTTGCTTGTTTAGGTGAAACCACGTGAAAGTGCTTACGGGGCTTCCTGAATGATCTGAAGCGTCTCCTGCACCACTTGCATAAGGAAGTTCCCGTTTGGGGCTGCTCAGATGTCGATCAGACTCTTTGATCTGGGAAAGTTGTTCATCTAAAGCCTCCTTTTGGAGCTGAAGTCTCTGAGCATGCCCGGCTTGAACCCCTAACTCTCTTTCCAGCACGTAGACTGCTCTGTCTTTAAATTTTATCTCCTCCATCTACAAGGAGAACAAAATACAATCACACAAGCATGCATGTTACAGGTCTCTGGTTACCATGGAAACTGGCAGCATCACACTAGCACAGCATCTTGGACTGTACCCAAAGACAACCATATCACAGTCAGTTTCACAGATTTGACATTCCTTAACAAAAAACAACACCCTTTAGAAAATAAAATAGCAATGAATGTTACAGTGGCCATATGAACAGAATTGCTTAATTGCTTTAGTAATATTGCACTTATTATTTCTACACTTTTAACCACTTTGGGAGCCATCCAGCAGAAATGATCATTTTGTACCAAGAGGTTCTCAGCTACTGTATCTACTTATTGTTATTGAATTCTTAGTATCAGGTCCCAGGTGCCTTTGACATAGAGATGGGTCCAGATCAATGCTCAAGAACCCACCCAAACTTTGCAGAGCAAATGGTTTGGAATTTATATCTGGGTGCTAATTTAAGAGCTGGACCCTACCTGTATGCTGGGCTGGATATGAAACAACCAAATTTTGGGATTGGAGGGAGGCCAAAAGATTAAACCCCCAAAGTTTGGAATTTTGAAGGTTACAATCTTATTTACTTTAAGGATTTAATTTTACCTTTGTGCAGAGGACCAACCATGCATTACTTTATAAATAACAATTCTTCAAGAGCAGCCTGAATAGCCCTTTTGTGATTGTGATAATATACACTACTGTAATAGAACCGCAGCACCTTCAACAGTTAGATTACACCAACATCCATTACATGTGGAAATACAAGATACTACACTCACAGGTTACATGGTTGTCAAATATGCTTGTAGATAATGAATCGGTGTGGAAAAAATTAATCATGTCAACCTCCTAAAACAAACATATTGTTCCTAACTTCAGACAGCTATTATCTTTGTAGTGCTTTAAATACTTCTGAAACACTACAAATGTAAATGAAACAAGCAGCTTTTTTAACTGTGAGCTGTTCATAGACAGAATGCTTTCCCCTTAATGGGACAGACAGTAAGAACTGGGCAGTCTACTCACTTTTTTGTTTGTTTTGTTTTTTATAGGATTGTTCCCAAACCCAGATAAAAATGGAGGAATGAATTAGCCAAATATTTCATTGAATAACTTTGCTTTAAATAATTAATATCATGGTCAAACACAGGAGCTTTTCTTAAGTTATATCTGTTTTGAAAAAAAAAAGAGCTTTTCTTAAGTTATATCTGTTTTGAAATGATTCTTGTTCAAGAACTATTGTACTGGACTCAATTTTAGAATCCTTAGCACCAGTATCCAGATAAAGATAGTATCAGGCATTTAAGATTGTGAAACAGCAAACAAGGAAATTCAGAGTCAAGGCTGACATTCCCTCCATAGCAATCCTGTTGTGCCTAAATACTGTAGCTGATGCAATAAATAACACCACATATGGCACACCATCCCTAGTACCTAAGATCACACTATGACCTAAGAGCTAGATTTCTAAAGGTATTTAGGCACCTAACTCCTACTTCCAGACTTTTCATATTGTGTAGGGCATATCTATTGTCTGGTCATTCTTTAGTAGACCTGTGTGTAATATGCACACTAAACTGCAAATCTACTTGCATTGAGCCTTGGGCTAGAGATGCTACACGTGAAATTCTGGCCCCACTGAGGGAAGTCAAGCGGAGTTTTGCCAATGACTTCAGTGGAGTCAGGATTTCACCCTATGTGTTTGAGAACCTCAGTTCACGTATTTGAAAGTTCAGCTGGGAAGCTGAGCACAGTCCCTCCCCTAGCTGCTCTCCTCCCTCAAAAGCCTCAGTAAGGGCATCTATCATGAGAAGGGAGAGGAGTATATATCTATTAGTCTTGCAATTTCAATCATCTTGTCCACTAATTATTTTGAAAATACAGAGCTCTCCCATTGTGCAGACCCTGGGATAAGAGCAGCAAAGTACACAACACTCCGTTTTCATTCTCTGAAAGCACTAGCAGCAGCTGCAGCAACAACGGAGGGATAGGTGCTCTGTCTGCAGTATTCACAATTCCTCACCAGCTTTATACATCCTAAAATAAAAACAATAAACCCATAAGTGGGATCTACAGTATTACAGGAAGTAAACACAGAGTCTAATTGAGGAAAAACAAGTATGGTTTATAAACTACCTTTGTGAAAAGGACATGTAAAAATTAAATTCGAGCATGTGTGATATTTTTCTATGCAAAAGTTAGTCTCCTTAGAAAACGGAGGGAAAAATACATTTTGGGTACTACTTTATTAAAGATGCCTTAAAATATTGAATTCCTAGTAATGCAGCAATCTACTAGTTTGCCTCATAACAAAGAGATGTCCGATGAACTCTTCCCAGGGCACGCATAATCAGACATTAAACTAAGAGACTTTAAATGAAAAAAATCTATATAGCCAAAGTTCCACTTATGTGAACACAAAGAAATTCTGTAACACAGACAACATTTTCAATTAAGAAAAACATGAAATTACAAGATTCAACAAAATAATTATATTCTAGCAAGGTTTTGATTTTTGAAAAAAAAAAGAACTAAATCTTAGCTTAGTGAGGAAATAAGAAAGCATCAATATTCACACCTCTCCTATCTGTTTAAGTTCATAGTTATGGATTAAATACAATGTTCTTATATTTACAGTTCATTGTTAAACATAAATATATTCATATAATTTGATAGGAGCAAAATGTATTGATTAAACGAAGAAAGCATTTTTAGAAGATTATTTTACAGTTTTTTTCTTCACAGCATGAACAACATTAAGGTGTTGTTAAAAAAGAAAATTATTTGCCACTCACTGAAAGATCTTTGTGAATTTCCAGGTGTGTGTCCAAAACAAAGCTATTGCACACACTTGTTTCATTACTCTACATAGAAACACTGAAGTGCCTTCGATTAATGTGGCTATCTTCCTTATATTTGTATCTGGTTGCTTTAGATAACAAGACTAGTTGTGAAACAATGTCAATGAATATATATGAGCATAGTATCCAATCATCTAAAGGAGAATGTCTTGCCTACCAGTGTGGATATTCCCACTTTATTTTTAGCAGGCTGTCTCCACCTAGAATGAATTTTTATGCTGAAGTGCTAATTAATTAACAGCCTGTGAGCATAGCTACTGCCAATTATGCAAATGCAAAGGCATGAAAAGTTGGGTCCTGCCCCCATCCCTTGTGCTAGCAAATGAAATTTCTAATATTATTTTTCATCAAGCTGATTTCAAACCTTGTGACATGATTTCTAGGGCAATACAAAAATCAATATGTAAGCTTCAATGCTGTAGAAATTTCCTCTTGTAATGTTCACAGGGCATTTATAGCTCTGCAGTCTCCATAAGCATCATTAACATGACTGTAAACAGCAGAAGAAGTCTGCTTTTGAAGCTTCATATGTCTATGCTAAAAAAGCCAAAGCTATTCCCCAAAAAAAGGTTTTAATTGCAAATGAGAAAACCCTTGCCAAGGCAGAAGCTGTTACATGACAAACATTTCCCCATAGGCAGAGCATGTCAGAGCAAGCAATTAGAATGTGTAAAATAATCTGCATTAGCGATGAGTTTCAGAAGTGCAGGTGAATGAGCTGTCAATCATTTATTAGTGGAATGGTAACTAAAAGTTCTAGATTAAAAGAAAGGGGATCTCTTCTCAAGCCAGTCTCCCTGACATTATGGGGATGTGAACTTGCACTCTGACAGAAGGAGAGACCAGTGGAACGTCTCTATATGCAGTAGGACTTACCTTCATTCAGTTTTCCTTCATATTTCTTCTTTCAACATGAAGGTTTTTCTCAGTGTTTTGAAATATATTAACATAGCTGCCTCTTTGGATCTTTTCTAATGTAAAGTAAGTACAGAGGAGTAACTAACCACTTTGTGTCCCTGTCAAACCAATTGCACTGGAGGGAATAACTCAGAACACTTGTACCAGTATTACACAATCGTATAGATTACTGTGTTTTATATTTTATAAGTTGATTGGGTATGACAGTCTCCCAGTGAAGGGACACTGTCAACTAGCCAAAGTCCAGAATGTTACTTAACTCCTGCTAAATATTCCAAGCACATCTAAACTGAGCATATGTGCTGTATCATCCCAACATTGATTTCAGTCATTCAGTCATGAATGGATGATAGCAACACAGCAGATGCAGTGGAGGACAAGCAGTGAAAGGGTGATTCTGTTGTTGTTGTTGATGATGATATATCCTTCCATCTTCCTAAATAGCTTGAAAAATTCACACTCCAGCTCCAATACAAAAACAACAAAAAAACTCTAGCCTCTGTTCATTGATTTCATTTTTCATATGTATTTATTTTGCCTGGCATCCATCCATGTAGCATCTGCACACAATCCATATGTTAAATGCAAAACTGAATTAAATCAAACTGCTTTATGCAGCAGCCCTTCCTGGACTGTCCTAACCAATCATATGTAACTCAGAGATGGCCCATGGGCAAGCAAATGCCAAATGGCCAAAGTTCACTCTGAAGGTGAGTAAACTTCTAGTGAAAGTTTACCAGAAAAAAAAACACTCTACCTACTATACCCGAAGTGCACATCTGGGGAATGGGAGCAAAAGCACTCAAACAGCATAGGTTACACTTTAGAAAACAGACTAAATCTGTGCCTGCAATTCACAGCTGCTATGTTTTGTGCATCTTCATATGTGACATTTCTCAACAGTGAAAAATGTTAGATTTCCCTCCCAGGTGCCCCTATCAGTAGTTGCAGGCTTGGGGGAGGCAGGAACATATTGCCTGAAGACTTCAGAAGCCAGGGGGAGTTGCAGAGACCAAGGGCAGACACATATGCTTGGGAAACTAGGAGTGACCAAGGTAGTAGTGATTAAGGCACTGGACTGGGACTTGGGTGATCGGGGTTCCCAGTTCTGCTAGTTCTGTGATCCCTGGGCCAACTTTCTCTGTGTCTCAGTTCCCCGTAAAATGGGGGTAATAAGCCCTCCATTCTCTCTCATCGATTTTGATTGTAAGCTCTTCAGGG